ATGAACAACAACAGCCACATGAACAACAACATCACGAGCGATCGATCGCTCCGTGCAGTTGAAAAAGTGAGGATATGAAGCATGACTCAAGAAAAGACTTAAGCTCAGGCGATTCGAATTAAATAAAGCCTGACTCGAAGCAAGACACACAAGCCGAGCCTTCCATATGCAGTCGGAGCTCATTTTTCGATAAATTCTGTTAACTTGGATTGATCTGTTAACTCGGCCGATCGATCGATCCATGCTGAAGCTGAGCATGGCCAAGGCATTGCCGGTGATAGAGATACCAGTAGTAGCAGTAACAGTAACAGTAGTAACAGTAGTGGCTCCTGCAGCGATCGATTGATCGTATTGGATAATAGGATCCTCATTGAGATTACGATCGTCAATAGGAACAAGGGGAGGATAGCTTTCGAGCGAATCCAAGATAATAGGGTCCTCATCGCGATTTTGATCGACGACAGGATAAGGAACAAGGGGATTGCTTACGAGCGAATCCAAGGGAATTAAGTTGCAATAAGGGGAAGGACTACAGATGAGGATAATGAGAGGAAACTCAGGACTCTGCACCAAGGGATAGCTCATTCCATTGACAACCATAAGGGATAGACATATAAGAATAAAAATGAGTAACATCTCATAACCTCGCATGCTACCATGCGACAATACCATTGTGCATTGATTAATCTAAGGATCTAAGAGATGTAAAGTTTGTATTTCCAAATAAGTGAGCAGTTATTGATTATTTTCTAGAATAAGCCTGCTAATTGTAAAGCTGTAAAGCTGAATTGTAAGCTGTATCCCGTCGCAACTACTTAGATTGATCAATCCAAATATTTGAGAATCAATGCTCGTGCTACTAACTCCACTCTCCTCAGAACTGAGAATTCCCCCGAGGTGCCCCCCCCTGCCTAGGTAGAGCTGCAGAATTTTGCCAAAGAGGTGTGCACCCTACGGTACCGGTAGAGGTGCAGATTTGTTGCCACCGAGGTGTGAACCGCAGGGGTGCAGACTTTTTTACCACTGAGGTGTGCACCCTAGAGGTGCAGAATTTTGATACCGAGATGCTCCCCCTCTAGAGGTGCAGAAAAGTTTCCTCCCGAGGTGTGCAACCTACAGGTCAGAAATAATGTTGCCCCCAAGGTGCTCCCCTTGTAAGGGTTTACTGCATTGTACAGTTCTAAAGATTGCAATGCTTTACTAACTAGAATCTTAGATTGATCATTCCAAAGATTTTAGGATCATTCCTCACTGCATTACCCCACTCTCAAAACCGAGAAAGTCCGGCCTGTTAGAAGAGATGCTGCTGCAGCTTGTGCCCTTGCCGGTGATGCGCGGGTTCCGGTTGCGGGCTGGGCTCGTGCGATTTATCATCACATGCACGAGTTGATCTCCTTCACGTGTCTCTGCCATCGCAGGTCTGTATATACCTGTCTATCAGTGCTAGCGAGATGGTTTGGCTGGAGGGAGCCGCATTGAGATTTGCTGCTGGATGAGTTGTTGTGTTGAGTGGTGTTGAACAAGAACTGTCACGAAAAATCCAATGTAGACTTGAGGTCTTGCACTGCTAGTCAATGACTAAACAGAGGCTGCTTGACGCACTGTCCTTGGATTCTTTCGAAACCGACTGGAAGGTGTTCGCGTGGTGCGTCGAGTTTCACTGGATCGACACCTCCTATCGACACGTATCTTCAATACGTATCTTTCGAGTTCGGAATTCGAGAAAATGTGAGGTGACTCGGATCGGCTCGCGCGCTTTCGGAACAGAGGTTCGGTACCGGTTTGTGAGTACCGTGTGAGTACCGGTTCCTTTTCACCGCAGTAGCCTCCGGAGGCACGACTGAGATTTCCGTATGAAAATCGAAAAGTCGACAATGGTGGTCTATTCCACTATCGGCCGTTCGAACGGAGCCGATTAACAAGAAACTGGCTGGACTATCGTCTCAAGCACCCTCAGGTTAGTAGGTGGACCTGTGGATACCTCTCGAATGGTCGCGATTCCAGTTTTCGGTCGATCGGCCGATCGTCGGTCACGATTTTTCCTTCTTCCTCTTCCTCTTTCTCCACTCGATTTCCACTGTAGCCACTCTTGTGCCTGCAATCTGCGACAATGTTAATCCGATGAGATCCAGTCAGGGTAGATGCACAAGAGCTGGCTGGAGTGGAGAGCTCTGCTTGGAGCCTCACTCCTCTTGACAGTGGGAATGGGCCAGCCACAAAGCTGGCTGCCCTGCTATTCAATCTCCAAGCAATGATTGAACAACTCACTCTTTGCCTTGGCACAATCCACACAGGAAGGCTTCAACTGTGGGGAAACTAGTGCTACTGAGGCTGTATCTGGTCAACTATCCTTTCATTACTTCTTCTTCTTTAAACTATGCTAAAGTCAACTAAACACAAAATCCTCGACAGCACTCAGCCATGCAGCTTTGGCTCTCTTGCATCTCATTTGGCTGTGCTGGCAAGCTAACTTTCTATATTGGTCTTGGCTGAAGAACTGCATCATCCTTGGTATATAGAGTTCCTCAGCTATTCTGTATTGCCAGATGGCTGCACTGCTGACCCTACTGTTGGAGTATACAGATGTCACAGCGATTCTTCCACCTGGCTAAACCAGCACAGCTGCTTCGCACCACAATGGGAATTCACGTGGATTTCCACTCATCGCTGCCGTTTGGTTACTTTAACGGCCGTTAAGTTACTTAGGGTGAAATTGTCACCTGGTTCCAGAAGATACGCCATTCCACCTCATGTGGTTCACTGCCCGGGAGCTCGCCCGGCCGGCTTCGACCTAAATGTCAATCCTAACGGATTTCCATTTAGGTCTCATCCGGCCGGGCTCGCTCCCGTTCCAGTTCACCACTGCGTGGTGGAAGGGCGTTCCTCTACAGAAGAGTTTTCGCCAAGCGTTACAGTCAACACTCACTAAAGTTCCACCCCCAGCATTAAGAAAAAAACGGAACTTAGCTGAATTACGGAACTTTAGATCTTTGGAGCCCCATATCGGCCCGTTCGTGGTCTTAGGACCCACTTGGGGTGGTTCTGTCATATTCTATTGTTGTTGGGGGGGAAGGAGAGATAAGCAGTCTTGGGGTGGAACTGCTTGCTCCTATGTATGGTGTCTGTATTGTGTTGGACCAGTAGAACATGCTATGTGGCTAGCTAGTTTCGAGCTCTCTAAGATGCCTGTCATGAAAGATAGATGAAGAAACTTCATATATGTATAAATGAACAATCTGAATGCTGGGTCCTACTTGGCAGCACTGTCTCAAACTGCCACAAAGCACATTCACTTGTCAGTCATGAGAACTAGTGACTCAGGGGGGGCAGCCCTGAAAAAGAGGAACTTTGTAGAGTAATGGAACTTAAGAAAACGGAACTTAAGTGAGTGTGGACTGTATGTGGGACATATTGACCGAACAGCAAGACTCGACTGGAAAGAAAGTTGTCGGTATGGGACAGCATCTTGCTCGTTTATTCGTCTCTTCTTTGGTGGGAACTTGCTGCGAATGAAGATGGCAATCAAGAGACTGAAACTGAAAGGAAAGGAGTTTACCGCGGTCAACAACGTTCTTCATCACCTAGAGTGCTTTCAAGCAATCGGAGAGCTTTTGAATAATGTGAAGGCAAAGCCCGCCATCATCGAATTGGCAAAGAAGGGCTATTGGACACCCACTATTGACACAATCGGCATAGCAAACGACCTCGTTGATCGTGGCGTCGCATCGGAGCTGGCTCAAGATTATCTCGTCTGCGGGAGCGCTTTGCAAGGCTTACCACCTACCGGTACAGTTTTGGTACCGTCGTCGCAGGCATTGAGATGCTACATTATTGAGATCTATCCTGAAGGATTTAAATTAAAGAATCTACTAATACTATCTAGCTTGGGCTCAGTAGATTACTTGGATTTGGACTGGGGGTCGTCCTGCTGAAGGAGCTGGGAGAAAATTCTGCTAGGGCTGCACTGGCTAGAGAGGTTGCTTGGTAGCTCTAGTGATAATGCTAACTGGATGGGGCTCAGCAGAAGTACTTGGAATGGAACTGGGCATGGAGCTGGACAATGAGTTGCCCAGGAGTGCTGCTATAGAGATGTCGCCGACTGGGAAAGTTGCTTGGTAGCTTGCTAGAGTAATGCTATTTGGCTGGGGCTCAGCAGACTATTTGGAATGGAACTGGGGATGGAGCTAGTCTTGGGAGAACTGTTAGGGCTATCACTGGCTGGGAAGGAGCTGGGAGAACTGCTAGGGAGCCACATAACTAGCTGGGAGAGTTAGTTGCTCGGTAGCTAGCTAATGCTAACTGGCTGAAGTCAGGATATCTCTAGCTGGGAGCACAGCTGCTAGGGAGCCCTATCACTGGCTTGGAGAGTTGCTCAAGGGGTAGATCTAGCTACCAGTAAAGCAAGCCCATGCCGAGTTGGCCTTGGAAGCAACTGACAGCCCTCATTTCAATTTCCCTGGTTGGCGCCACCCGGGGGTTCCTCGTTGCACTCGCATTGTGACAGTGGTAATTCCACCACGAGCACTGTGGACACTGATAACAACACTGATGCCGGTAGCAGTACGGATGAATGTCTCGGTTGTCATTCCCAACAGTAACTAAAGCGACGAAACCTCCTTCCCTGAGGCGACAAAAAGTTTGGCGTGTTCCTCGCGGGAGCTTAAGATCTCATGGAGAAAAATAACAGCAGAGTTCACGAGTACCGAGATACTATTGCAATCCTAGAAACCAGAAGGGTCATTCATATCCATGCTAATATCTATTAGACTGGACCAGGAACTGGCAAACTCGAGACAGTCAGCATGTGCCTTGTAACGACAGACGGCCCAGGACAACAATTCGATGCCAGCCACAGCACTTGGCCTCCTGACCATTTCGTTACGTTGTCGTGGCAACACCGGCGTTGTCAGCTTTCTGGCAGTTTTCATGGCGTTTCTGGTTGGTTGTCTGTCGACCTCATCCATTCGTTGGGCCTCGTTCTACCTCGTTCTAAAACGTAGCTAGTCGTCAATGGTAACCATCTGAACCCGAGAATCGGCCAGACTTCTGGCATTCCTCGCTGTGCACTCGTTTCGAACAGCCAACGGATCATCGACACGAGCACTTGATCCCATGTCGCCTTCCGACAGGGCCACATTCGATCCTCGACGAGATGTGGCATCCACGGACCGTCTCATTCGAGTCACGGCAAGCACTTTTGGAAAGATGATGAGACCGCAAACGCTAACGGGGAATGAAAACGCTAGAAGTGCAAATCCAATGGACCGAGCGCTCGAATTGATCTTGTTGAGCAACACGATAATCGGAGCACCCACCAGAATTACCTAATCAGCGAATGTACCAATCGTCAGGAAATCCCAATCATGCGAAACCAGTTCGTTTGTTCGTGTTCACGCTGTCCTCGTGCTTACCTGCGATTGCACAAGGAGAAATGCCAAGACCCATTTGGATTCCGAGAGAGATGGTTTAGTTCTCCATGCCATGAATCCCGTCTTTGCAGCTTGAATAAGGTAGATGCAGTTGAGGAGCACAAGATAATGGTATGACGATCGCCCTGAACAGATACCAACACTCTCTTCCGACGCGTCGTCTATGATCAATCGGGTCCATCTAATGCTACCGTGAAGTTTCATCGCAATCAAAACGGCAATGACAACGAGCAGCATCAATGCACCAGGCAACAACAGTCGCCATAGACTGACTGTGTTCTTGTTGTTGAAAACCTGTTTGGCTCTCCAAAGCTGGAAGCACATCAAAACGTGAGAAACCAAAGCGCATCTATCGAGCACCGTTGCAAGCTAGCTAACAGTCCAGCTGTGGCAGGCACGTACCTTTGTGAAAAGAGCTCCATAGATGAGAGTGTTCGCCAGGGCATCACACCACATCCAGCTATAACATGACAAGTCGAGATCCTCTTGCTCAAAGCCCCAACTCTCGTCGAACCCAGCCAGGACGATGGATGTACTACTTAATGCGGCCGCAAAGCAAATCGTATATAGGAACCCTGGCTGGGCATTGATGACGATGGCATGGCCCCGATTGTAGAAGACCCAAACGGCCGAAGCAATGACAATGGCGATGGAAATCACAAAGAGTATCATTTCCGTGAGAATTGCGCCGCTGGAAATGTAGTTTTGCTCGGGCTGCGAACGGAGATCAGGTGGGGAGTTGGCTGTATCGTCAGCAAAGACAAATGGATTGACCTGAATCCACTCGCCTCTCACAAATCTCTCCGACTCTTGGAGAAACAAGCTTTGTTTGTTCACAATGAAGCAACAAAAGGAATCGTGACGTAGCTAGGTCAGTGATTTATTGAATCGCAGGAATCGGTTGCCCGGAGACATGCGCAGCATAATTGATCATCGCTTCTTACCCTTTGGTTCGATTGCTCCAAACAAAGTTTGCTACGGTAAAGGGTGCGGTGCTTGCTGCTCGGCTGCCTGGACGTTTCTGGATTCCACCAAATTTGACTCGTCCCGACGCCCCCTCAAAGTCCACAGACCGTATTCCCTCCTGATGTTGCTGCCCGGTCATGCCGCCTCGTTCTGGTTGCGCCATGTTGGCAGCCCAATGCCAATGGCCATGATGGCGTCATACATGAATGCCACTCCAGGCATGGAGCTTTTGAGCTGAATGGCCAAGCTATGTAATGGCATTCGGGAGGTGTCCGCCAGATGATCCAGTTCTGGTTGGTGATAGTTGGAGATGGGGTTCCATTCTCTCACTTTGTGAAGAAAGTCTGCATCGTGCTGTACCAAGAAGGCTCGAAAAGAATCCAAAGGAGCCTCGCTGTCATCGTTGGAATAGCCACTACCCACATGATCCGAGGGTGAGATGTAGGCTGCGCCCTTTAGAAAGCGAGGTTTGAGATGCAGGGCATGATCTTTCCAGATCAGCTCTGTGTCATCACCAGGACTGCAACTGGTGCTGGGAATGATCCAAAAGTGGTTTCCCTGGTCCAGTTCCAACTCTCTCGTGGATTTTCCCAGTTCGGTAATGACACCGCTGTGGTTTTCCGGGCCCGGAAGCCATACAATGCTTTGGTAGCCAGACTGTTTGACTTGTTCCAGGACGTGAGATAGTTTCCAGTCTGGCAATTCGTCCGCTTGTTGTTCGTAGGCAAATGTCTGAACATGATCCATCCCCTGTTCTTGTTGGAGAAGCAGACGTTGTAGAATACTGGCCTTGTGCTGACTGACGTCGTGATTGTCGTATAGGATTGCAATATAGTTGTTTCGTTGCATGTGCAGCAAGTACCGAGCGACAAACTCCATTTCCGTGTGCCAATCGGGGGAGACTTGAGTGTAAAGGCATGCCGTTCGGGCAGCATTTCATCCAATGCTTGATTGTGTGCCACCATGGGACTCTGCAATCCAGTTGCCACGGCACTCAGATCCAGCACTGGAATCAGTGGATGATACGGCCCCGCAATGGCATCGGGTACAAAGATGGCTTCTTCTCTTCTTCCTTGTGGATGAATTCCTCAAAGATCGACTGCATTGCTTCATGACCGTCGCCGCCTGTATCCATCACCTTGACCCGTCCAAAGGTAATGTTGCAATCCTTGGTTGGAAAAGAAGACCCCAGGGACTGGACGACGGAAGCATTGCGCTGGTTGAAATGATCCACGGCCAACCGCGCCGCTGCGAGGTGGAAAAAGCCTGGATCCATTCCGCTCAGTGGCACCGCCACCAATAGCGACAAGGTCCCATCTTCACCTCGTAGCCTTGCTGCTGCTACTGGAAGATGATGACAACCAGAGAGTAGTAGTAGCTGCAGCAGCACCCAGGGCGCAAACAACAATGAGGAAGAGAGGACCATCACCATTCTACCGTCATGACATGTAGAGCTGTAATGGTATATGTATCTTGTGGACGAAGTGAAGGATTGGTTTTGATGTTGGCTGGACTGTTAGATACACTCCGATCAAACACGACTTAACAAACAGCTTGGCTGCTTTGAAACATTGTTAAAACTTTGAAACATCTTCAGACGAACGGCATGTGAGCGCAGCCTTGCAAGCTATCAATGACTGACGTCATCCTCATTTTTTCAAACAACGGCAAACCCATCATGGTGCACCCACTGATGTGCAGTCGGTTGAACAAACAAACAATGGTGAAGGTGCGCTCTACCCGAAGATTGTTACCTCTCTTCAAAGGTTGGAACTATTCCCTGGTATTATTTGCAGTCACAGTCAATAGTTTCACCATGACAAGTGCTGGCAACTGGAACCGCGAAAACACCAAACCCAAAAACTACAATGCCGATCTGTCCATCAAGCAAGCGGCTCGTATCTTGGTTCTGGGCAGCCGGGACGACCCTACCATGGTTCGTGTCTTTGAGGACGAAACCAAATTGCCGGATCAGACTACCATTGTCGGTGTAGGCACGAAACGAGACGATTTCGATTGGGATGCGTTACGACGGGAACCACCCACTGTGATCCTCGTGACGACCAAGGGGATAAAAGACTTGCTGGCGGAACTGCTGACCACACCGGAATTGGCATCGTCCATTCAATGGGTCCATGCCAAGTCTGCCGGAATCGAACACTGTACATCTCCCGCATTGGCTGCCTCTACCGTCGTCATGAGCAATGCCAAAGGACACTTTTCGTCCACACTGGCAGAGTATGGCATGATGGCCTGCAGCTACTTTGCAAAGATCTGCCTCGTCTACTGCAACAACAACAAGATTCCAACTGGGAAAAATACAGCATTCTGGAATTGCGGGGAGCTACCATGGGGATTGTTGGATACGGTGACATTGGTCGTGCCACTGCCAAACTAGCCCATGCTTATGGGATGAAAGTGATTGCTCTCAAACGACGACGTGTTCTGGACGACGACAAGGATGCCTATTGCGAGAAAATATACTGTGCGTCGCAGGATCCCACTGCTTTGAATACGGTTTGCGCCGAAAGCGATTACATTTACGTGGCGGCACCGTTGACACCAGAAACCGAAGGATTGATTGGAACAGATCAATTAGCTGTCATGAAAAGCAATGCTGTTCTGATCAATGTAGGGCGAGGTCCCGTGCTGGATGAAAAAGCAGTTATTGATGCCTTGACAATGGCGAAAATAAAGGGTGCTGCCTTGGATGTCTTTGAGCAGGAACCACTTCCAGCAGATAGTCCCTTGTGGAAACTCAAGAATGTTTTGCTGAGTCCGTGAGTGTCCGATGAATTTATGCTTGTTCACTCTGCCTTGGCCATAGACCGCGACTCATTTTGCTCACATATCGCATATGTTATTTCTTTTTGCTTCTTCTGCTTTCTTTCCACGCATTGATTTATTTCTCTGCAGTCACAACATGGACCAGACGGATTCGTTCCAGCATGAGGCCACAGACTTCTTTCTGGACGAGAATCTACCGAGGTTTTTGCGAGGACTGCCGCTCTACAACGTAGTTGACAAAGCAGCGGGATACTAGGGTTGGCGCTTACTATAGCTAGCTAGCTGCACAAGGAGAAATCGCAGCCCAAGTTTGCGGAGAGGTGTCGCTTGGGTCGGACGGCACGATCGAGCCTGCACTTTGGAAAGCCAACCAATGACGTTCGCACAATGACCATGCGTCCAAAGGCTCCTCGAGTCCGTCTCCTGACTGGGCGCAGTCTCCCAGGCGCATACTAGTACCTCATAAGGCTAGTCCAACTCTCTACCCGACCCTTGCTTGTATGTAGTCCGTGTCCCAGGCATATCTCATAAGGCTAGGCTAATCAAACTCTCCTACCCAAACTTTGCTTGTATATAGAACTAATAACGAATTACGATGATGATAAGGATACCGGAGTGAATTCATGTCTGACCCAATCCGACCTTGCCTCAATATCCCAGTTTTGACATGGGTGGCGGTGGCGAAAACGGAACATGATAGTGGCACTTGGCCATGTCCACTTCTACCTTGCAACAAGAAATGAACAGAATCTTTCTTCCTTATTCACTCACATCACTCACCCAAAATTGAATTGAATTGAATCGAATCCGCTAAAGTGTACTCCATCGCTCGTTTCCTCCTTTCCGCCGCCTTGGCATGCTGTTCCTCTTGCTTGCTTGCTCTCACCACCCACCTGTCCAATCTTGACTTGCGCACGTGCGCTGAAGGTATGCCCAATAAAGAGCAACCATGAAAGAAGAACGCACTTTTTGGTACACAAGTAAGTCGAGACCATTGTAAGAAAGAGCCAAGACCACAACCATCACGAGCCAAGAGTCCTCTTTTGCAGACGAACCTGCCTCGATTAAAAGGCAAAGTCACCATCATCGAATCCATAGTCATCATCATCTTCTCATTGTCGTCATCATCGTCATCATCTGCCGCGTGATCCAACGCAGCAGCTTCTTCAAAGTGACCCAATTCGACAAAGTCAACCTTCCATCGCAGAATTCCTCCAATCCCTCCAAATCCCTTGACAAACTGTGTCCCTTCACTGGAGCGATCCGTGACGAATTCCAAGTTACATCCAAAATTCTTGTAGTTATTGGCGAGCCATTCGACAAAGGGTTCCTTTTCGACCGTTTCCAATTCGGTTCCCGAAGTAGCATCCCGAAAGTACGAGTCTTGGGATTCCTGTTCTTTGGTGAGATGCAGAATGGTCTCTTCGCTGGTCGATTGATTTCGCAGGACATATCGATTGACATCGAGATTATCCCAGACAATGAGATCTTCTACAGCCCCGAGTTCCAACGCCTTGAGGGTATCTTCGACCATGAAACAGTACTTTCCGGTATCTTGTGAGATTTCGTCCATGTATTTCTGCAATAGTTTTTTTTCCTTCATCAACTTGACATTGGCGAGTGCGTCGGCACTCATTTCAATGGCTTGATTGAATCCATTTTCTCCTCCGTACGAGACATCAATCATCTTGACGACAATTTTACACAATCTTGGATCGAACAAATCGGAGCGCATGAGTTCCGTCTTGAAATCGGCCGACCCGGCCAGTACAATCCCCTGAACGTTTGGTTTTTGTCCATCGGGTACAAAGAGTTGCGTGGCCAATTCGGCGACTTTGCGTACGTAATTGTGTCGTTTTTCCAATCGAAGTCGGGCAAATCGCAATGCGGACTGTCCACCACGTCCGTGTTTCTTGGGTAGATCGACCGAGAACTTGTGCAAGACTTCGCGATTGGATCCTTGCACGGTTCCGTATAGACATCCGTTACCATCCATGACGATAAAGCCAAAAGCTTCGTCGTCCATGAGAGATCGTTTAGATTCTCCGTGTGGAATTTGTTGTCACACAAGTAGAGGGACGTATTGATGGGTTTGAATGGTTCAAAGTCGATATTGACTTTTCGTTCTTTTCCGTCTTCGGTAATGACGGTTCCACAGTAAATGACGAGTCCATTTTTGGGACATCGATTGTATAGCTTCAAGCGCTGTTGTGTGGACGTAATGGCGGACAGAACGGACAATCGATTGACTCTCGACTTGATATTGGACGCGGTACCGTATTCGTCACTCAACATTTTGTTGACTCGTGAAATCTGATCTCCGGGAGGGATAATCAAGGAAATCATGGAAGTACCATTTCCACGGGCTGCCTGCAGATTCTTAATCAGCTTCTTGACCTTGAAGATCTCAATCTGCTGGTCTTGTTCGTCTTGCTCCTTGTTGCTCATTGTATTGTTGATGGTGTTGTGATCTATATGACTATGGGTATATACCGGTAGCTCTCTCCTGCTTCTCTCTTACTATGTACTCAGGTACCAGTAGCTATGATATTCTAAAGTGTGATAGCTTATAATGATACTTGCTGACAGTTAGCACGTTTCCTCTTTCAGAATTTCAACTTGAAGACGCTGCTGATGGATGGAGGGAGGGCTGGAACTTGAAGGACGTTGTAAAAAAAGCAATGCTGATCATGATCGACCAAGGACGCACTTTGGTTGCCCGTTGCATTGGAAGAAAATGCTTGTGTGGTGTGTGGCGGCTTCCAAAGGCGCGCGTTGCTAGTGCGCGAACGACAAATACAATAGGGATAGAGCTCAGAGGTTTCTATTCGATTTTGTTCCGGCAGAAAAGGCATCGATCGGTTTCGAATCGAATCGAATCCAGAAGCCATCTCAGAAGCCAAAACAGCACCCGGTCACACAACAGCCCGCACCCTCCAACTCGGATCACTTTCGAGGAGCTCTCATTCATTCGTCTCTCTGGCAACCATTGCAAACCAAATCGTACTCTAATAACAAGCCAAGCCTAACAAATCCAATGATGGAACAAGACACATCTGCCATTACGGACATTACCGACGGGGCCAAACGTCTGGCCCAAGAACTGGACCAGTACATTGCGGCAGGTCCGAACCGCTCGGCCGTCACGGGCGACACTGCTGCTACTAGTAGTACGAGTGCTGCTGCTAATAATGCGACCTTGTCGAACGATGCCATTGCCGACCTTCAATTGGCCACGGCACGAAAGTTGAGAGAGGTGCGTCTATCTAAGTTTGTTTGCTTAGTTAGTCAGTTCTGTCTTGATTTGACTTGAAGGAGGAAGGAAGGATATTTGTTTGGTTGTTTCTATTCATCTCATCTCATTTATTGCTGTTTCTACCGTATTTATTGGTCATTTATTGCTGTTTCTATTGTATTCTTATAGTTACTCCCCAACAACCGCGACCTTCTGCTTCTAGCACAAGAGAGGAATTGGATTCCTCTACTGCTGAGTTGGCTGAATCTACACGACAGACCCGCGGTTCAGGTGGAAGCCTTGTTGGCATTGACCAACATTGCCGAGCTTTGCGCCCAACAGTCCTATTTGCAAGCACAAACTTCCGCCGTTGCTTCGGCTACACAAGCAGCAGCCGCAGCTGCCAAAACCACTCCTCCGGCGCCCTTATCGGCTCCTCTCTACTCCTTTGGAAATACTTCTACTAATAGTAGTGGTAGCAATGCCAAAACAAACAACAACAACAACAACAGTTCTACGTCCACCACAACCTCCTCGACCACTCCTGCCGCAACGTATCCTTATCCTTCTCTAGTAGCACCAGCTCCTGGCAGTGTCCCCTTTCCACCACTCTCCTTCTCACAGACACTCTCTCCGGAAGCCGTTGCCGCATTTGATGCCAGTCTCGTTTCCACCATTCAATCGGGCACGGATGTCGCCAACACGTCGTCCACTTCCACCAACAGTGCCACTTCTACCAATAGTAGTAAAAAGGACACCACCAAGACTGGTGTGGTTGCACCCGCGCATTTTTCCATGCCCCCCGCGCCCTTGTTTCCCACATCTTCCTTACCGGGATCTTTTCAACCACCCAATCTCGCACAACATTCGGGAGGCATCAATTTCACGTCGCTCGCGCCACCACCCAGTGGCGCCCACAATAGTGTCCCCAGCAATGCGTTCTTGCCGCCACCCACACCCATTTCCTGCTGGCATGACGCCCGGCCCCAAATGTGGCTTTGTTGTGTACAGTCAACACTCACTAAAGTTCCACCCCCCAGCATAAGAAAAAAACGGAACTTAGCTGAATTACGGAACTTTAGATCTTTGGAGCCCCATATGGCCCGTTCGTGGTCTTAGGACCCATTTGGGTGGTTCCTGTCATATTCTATTGTTGTTGGGGGGGGAAGGAGAGATAAGCAGTCTTGGGGTGGAACTGCTTTGCTCCTATGTATGGTGTCTGTATTGTGTTGGACCAGTAGAACATGCTATGTGGCTAGTTAGTTTCGAGCTCTCTAAATGCCTGTCATGAAAGATAGATGAAGAAACTTCATATATGTATAAATGAACAATTGAATGCTGGGTCCTATTGGCAGCACTGTCTCAAACTGCCACAAAGCACATTCACTTGTCAGTCATGAGAACTAGTGACTCAGGGGGGCATGAAAAGAGGAACTTGTAGAGTAATGGAATTAAGAAAACGGAACTTAAGTGAGTGTTGAACTGTACAGTCAACAACTCACTAAAGTTCCACCCCCAGCATTAAGAAAAAACGGAACTTAGCTGAATTACGGAACTTTAGATCTTTTGAGCCCCATATCGGCCCGTTGTGGTCTTAGGACCACTGGGGTGGTTCCTGTCATATCTATTGTTGTTGGGGGGGAAGAGAGAGATAAGCAGTCCTTGGGGTGGAACTGCTTTGCTCCTATGTATGGTGTCTGTATTGGAGGAGTGAAATTGTCACCTGGTTCCAGAAGATACGCCATTCCACCTCATGTGGTTCACTGCCCGGGAGCTCGCCCGGCCGGCTTCGACCTAAATGTCAATCCTAACGGATTTCCATTTAGGTCTCATCCGGCCGGGCTCGCTCCCGTTCCAGTTCACCACTGCGTGGTGGAAGGGCGTTCCTCTACAGAAGAGTTTTCGCCAAGCGTTACAGTCAACACTCACTAAAGTTCCACCCCCCAGCATTAAGAAAAAAACGGAACTTAGCTGAATTACGGAACTTTAGATCTTTGGAGCCCCATATCGGCCCGTTCGTGGTCTTAGGACCCACTTGGGGTGGTTCTGTCATATTCTATTGTTGTTGGGGGGGGGAAGGAGAGATAAGCAGTCTTGGGGTGGAACTGCTTTGCTCCTATGTATGGTGTCTGTATTGTGTTGGACCAGTAGAACATGCTATGTGGCTAGCTAGTTTCGAGCTCTCTAAGATGCCTGTCATGAAAGATAGATGAAGAAACTTCATATATGTATAAATGAACAATCTGAATGCTGGGTCCTACTTGGCAGCACTGTCTCAAACTGCCACAAAGCACATTCACTTGTCAGTCATGAGAACTAGTGACTCAGGGGGGGCAGCCCTGAAAAAGAGGAACTTTGTAGAGTAATGGAACTTAAGAAAACGGAACTTAAGTGAGTGTTGACTGTATGTGGGACATATTGACCGAACAGCAAGACTCGACTGGAAAGAAAGTTGTCGGTATGGGACAGCATCTTGCTCGTTTATTCGTCTCTTCTTTGGTGGGAACTTGCTGCGAATGAAGATGGCAATCAAGAGACTGAAACTGAAAGGAAAGGAGTTTACCGCGGTCAACAACGTTCTTCATCACCTAGAGTGCTTTCAAGCAATCGGAGAGCTTTTGAATAATGTGAAGGCAAAGCCCGCCATCATCGAATTGGCAAAGAAGGGCTATTGGACACCCACTATTGACACAATCGGCATAGCAAACGACCTCGTTGATCGTGGCGTCGCATCGGAGCTGGCTCAAGATTATCTCGTCTGCGGGAGCGCTTTGCAAGGCTTACCACCTACCGGTACAGTTTTGGTACCGTCGTCGCAGGCATTGAGATGCTACATTATTGAGATCTATCCTGAAGGATTTAAATTAAAGAATCTACTAATACTATCTAGCTTGGGCTCAGTAGATTACTTGGATTTGGACTGGGGGTCGTCCTGCTGAAGGAGCTGGGAGAAAATTCTGCTAGGGCTGCACTGGCTGAGAGGGTTGCTTGGTAGCTCTAGTGATAATGCTAACTGGATGGGGCTCAGCAGAAGTACTTGGAATGGAACTGGGCATGGAGCTGGACAATGAGTTGCCCAGGAGTGCTGCTATAGAGATGTCGCCGACTGGGAAAGTTGCTTGGTAGCTTGCTAGAGTAATGCTATTTGGCTGGGGCTCAGCAGACTATTTGGAATGGAACTGGGGATGGAGCTAGTCTTGGGAGAACTGTTAGGGCTATCACTGGCTGGGAAGGAGCTGGGAGAACTGCTAGGGAGCCACATAACTAGCTGGGAGAGTTAGTTGCTCGGTAGCTAGCTAATGCTAACTGGCTGAAGTCAGGATATCTCTAGCTGGGAGCACAGCTGCTAGGGAGCCCTATCACTGGCTTGGAGAGTTGCTCAAGGGGTAGATCTAGCTACCAGTAAAGCAAGCCCATGCCGCAGTTGGCCTTGGAAGCAACTGACAGCCCTCATTTCAATTTCCCTGGTTGGCGCCACCCGGGGGTTCCTCGTTGCACTCGCATTGTGACAGTGGTAATTCCACCACGAGCACTGTGGACACTGATAACAACACTGATGCCGGTAGCAGTACGGATGAATGTCTCGGTTGTCATTCCCAACAGTAACTAAAGCGACGAAACCTCCTTCCCTGAGGCGACAAAAAGTTTGGCGTGTTCCTCGCGGGAGCTTAAGATCTCATGGAGAAAAATAACAGCAGAGTTCACGAGTACCGAGATACTATTGCAATCCTAGAAACCAGAAGGGTCATTCATATCCATGCTAATATCTATTAGACTGGACCAGGAACTGGCAAACTCGAGACAGTCAGCATGTGCCTTGTAACGACAGACGGCCCAGGACAACAATTCGATGCCAGCCACAGCACTTGGCCTCCTGACCATTTCGTTACGTTGTCGTGGCAACACCGGCGTTGTCAGCTTTCTGGCAGTTTTCATGGCGTTTCTGGTTGGTTGTCTGTCGACCTCATCCATTCGTTGGGCCTCGTTCTACCTCGTTCTAAAACGTAGCTAGTCGTCAATGGTAACCATCTGAACCCGAGAATCGGCCAGACTTCTGGCATTCCTCGCTGTGCACTCGTTTCGAACAGCCAACGGATCATCGACACGAGCACTTGATCCCATGTCGCCTTCCGACAGGGCCACATTCGATCCTCGACGAGATGTGGCATCCACGGACCGTCTCATTCGAGTCACGGCAAGCACTTTTGGAAAGATGATGAGACCGCAAACGCTAACGGGGAATGAAAACGCTAGAAGTGCAAATCCAATGGACCGAGCGCTCGAATTGATCTTGTTGAGCAACACGATAATCGGAGCACCCACCAGAATTACCTAATCAGCGAATGTACCAATCGTCAGGAAATCCCAATCATGCGAAACCAGTTCGTTTGTTCGTGTTCACGCTGTCCTCGTGCTTACCTGCGATTGCACAAGGAGAAATGCCAAGACCCATTTGGATTCCGAGAGAGATGGTTTAGTTCTCCATGCCATGAATCCCGTCTTTGCAGCTTGAATAAGGTAGATGCAGTTGAGGAGCACAAGATAATGGTATGACGATCGCCCTGAACAGATACCAACACTCTCTTCCGACGCGTCGTCTATGATCAATCGGGTCCATCTAATGCTACCGTGAAGTTTCATCGCAATCAAAACGGCAATGACAACGAGCAGCATCAATGCACCAGGCAACAACAGTCGCCATAGACTGACTGTGTTCTTGTTGTTGAAAACCTGTTTGGCTCTCCAAAGCTGGAAGCACATCAAAACGTGAGAAACCAAAGCGCATCTATCGAGCACCGTTGCAAGCTAGCTAACAGTCCAGCTGTGGCAGGCACGTACCTTTGTGAAAAGAGCTCCATAGATGAGAGTGTTCGCCAGGGCATCACACCACATCCAGCTATAACATGACAAGTCGAGATCCTCTTGTTCAAAGCCCCAACTCTCGTCGAACCCAGCCAGGACGATGGATGTACTACTTAATGCGGCCGCAAAGCAAATCGTATATAGGAACCCTGGCTGGGCATTGATGACGATGGCATGGCCCCGATTGTAGAAGACCCAAACGGCCGAAGCAATGACAATGGCGATGGAAATCACAAAGAGTATCATTTCCGTGAGAATTGCGCCGCTGGAAATGTAGTTTTGCTCGGGCTGCGAACGGAGCTCAGGCGGGGAGTTGGCTGTATCGTCAGCAAAGACAAACGGATTGACCTGAATCCACTCGCCTCTCACAAATCTCTCCGACTCTTGGAGAAACAAGCTTTGTTTGTTCACAATGAAGCAACAAAAGGAATCGTGACGTGGCTAGGTCGGTGATTTTCTGAATCGCAGGACACGGTTTCCCGGAGACATGCGCAGCATAATTGATCATCGCTTCTTACCCTTTGGTTCGATTGCTCCAAACAAAGTTTGCTACGGTAAAGGGCACGGTGCTTGCCGCTCGGCTGCCCGGACGTTTCTGGATTCCACCAAATTTGACTCGTCCCGACGCCCCCTCAAAGTCCACAGACCGTATTCCCTCCTGATGTTGCTGCCCGGTCATGCCGCCTCGTTCTGGTTGCGTCATGACTTGGCAGGCGCCAATGCCAATGGCCATGATGGCGTCATACATGAATGCCACTCCTGGCATGGAGCTTTTGAGCTGAATGGCCAAGCTATGTAATGGCATTCGGGAGGTGTCCGCCAGATGATCCAGTTCTGGTTGGTGATAGTTGGAGATGGGGTTCCATTCTCTCACTTTGTGAAGAAAGTCTGCATCGTGCTGTACCAAGAAGGCTCGAAAAGAATCCAAAGGAGCCTCGCTGTCGTCGTTGGAATAGCCACTACCCACATGATCCGAGGGTGAGATGTAGGCTGCGCCCTTTAGAAAGCGAGCTTTGAGATGCAGGGCATGATCTTTCCATATCAGCTCTCTGTCATCACCAGGACTACAGCTGGTGCTGGGAATGATCCAAAAGTGGTTTCCCTGGTCCAGTTCCAACTCTCTCGTGGATTTTCCCAGTTCGGTAATGACACCGCTGTGGTTTTCCGGGCCCGGAAGCCATACGATGCTTTGGTAACCAGACTGTTTGACTTGTTCCAGGACGTGAGATAGTTTCCAGTCTGGCAATTCGTCCGCTTGTTGTTCGTAGGCAAATGTCTGAACATGATCCATCCCCTGTTCTTGTTGGAGAAGCAGACGTTGTAGAATACTGGCCTTGTGCTGACTGACGTCGTGATTGTCGTATAGGATTGCAATATAGTTGTTTCGTTGCATGTGCAGCAAGTACCGAGCGACAAACTCCATTTCCGTGTGCCAATCGGGGGAGACTTGAGTGTAAAGGCATGCCGTTCGGGCAGCATTTCATCCAATGCTTGATTGTGTGCCACCATGGGACTCTGCAATCCAGTTGCCACGGCACTCAGATCCAGCACTGGAATCAGTGGATGATACGGCCCCGCAATGGCATCGGGTACAAAGATGGCTTCTTCTTCTTCTTCCTTGTGGATGAATTCCTCAAAGATCGACTGCATTGCTTCATGACCGTCGCCGCCTGTATCCATCACCTTGACCCGTCCAAAGGTAATGTTGCAATCCTTGGTTGGAAAAGAAGACCCCAGGGACTGGACGACGGAAGCATTGCGCTGGTTGAAATGATCCACGGCCAACCGCGCCGCTGCGAGGTGGAAAAAGCCTGGATCCATTCCGCTCAGTGGCACCGCCACCAATAGCGACAAGGTCCCATCTTCACCTCGTAGCCTTGCTGCTGCTACTGGAAGATGATGACAACCAGAGAGTAGTAGTAGCTGCAGCAGCACCCAGGGCGCAAACAACAATGAGGAAGAGAGGACCATCACCATTCTACCGTCATGACATGTAGAGCTGTAATGGTATATGTATCTTGTGGACGAAGTGAAGGATTGGTTTTGATGTTGGCTGGACTGTTAGATACACTCCGATCAAACACGACTTAACAAACAGCTTGGCTGCTTTGAAACATTGTTAAAACTTTGAAACATCTTCAGACGAACGGCATGTGAGCGCAGCCTTGCAAGCTATCAATGACTGACGTCATCCTCATTTTTTCAAACAACGGCAAACCCATCATGGTGCACCCACTGATGTGCAGTCGGTTGAACAACAAACAATGGTGAAGGTGCGCTCTACCCGAGGATTGGGTCCTTCCTTCTTCAAAGGTTGGAAGTATTTCCTGGTATTATTTGCAGTCACAGTCAATAGTTTCACCATGACAAGTGCTGGCAACTGGAACCGCGAAAACACCAAACCCAAAAACTACAATGCCGATCTGTCCATCAAGCAAGCGGCTCGTATCTTGGTTCTGGGCAGCCGGGACGACCCTACCATGGTTCGTGTCTTTGAGGACGAAACCAAATTGCCGGATCAGACTACCATTGTCGGTGTAGGCACGAAACGAGACGATTTCGATTGGGATGCGTTACGACGGGAACCACCCACAGTGATCCTCGTGACGACCAAGGGGATAAAAGACTTGCTGGCGGAACTGCTGACCACACCGGAATTCGCCTCGTCCATTCAATGGGTCCATGCCAAGTCTGCCGGAATCGAACACTGTACATCTCCCGCATTGGCTGCCTCTACCGTCGTCATGAGCAATGCCAAAGGACACTTTTCGTCCACACTGGCAGAGTATGGCATGATGGCCTGCAGCTACTTTGCCAAAGATCTGCCTCGTCTACTGCAACAACAACAAGATTCCAACTGGGAAAAATACAGCATTCTGGAATTGCGGGGAGCTACCATGGGGATTGTTGGATACGGTGACATTGGTCGTGCCACTGCCAAACTAGCCCATGCTTATGGGATGAAAGTGATTGCTCTCAAACGACGACGTGTTCTGGACGACGACAAGGATGCCTATTGCGAGAAAATATACTGTGCGTCGCAGGATCCCACTGCTTTGAATACTGTTTGCGCCGAAAGCGATTACATTTACGTGGCAGCACCGCTGACACCAGAAACCGAAGGATTGATTGGAAAAGACCAACTAGCTGTCATGAAAAGCAATGCTGTTCTGATCAATGTAGGGCGAGGTCCCGTGCTGGATGAAAAGGCAGTTATTGATGCCTTGACAATGGGGAGAATAAAGGGTGCTGCCTTGGATGTCTTTGAACAGGAACCACTTCCAGCAGATAGTCCCTTGTGGAAACTCAAGAATGTTTTGCTGAGTCCGTGAGTGTCTAATGATATTATGCTTGTTCACTCTGCCTTGGCCATAGACCGCGACTCATTTTGCTCACATATCGCATATGTTATTTCTTTTGCTTCTTCTGCTTTCTTTCCACGCATTGATTTATTTCTCTGCAGTCACAACATGGACCAGACAGATTCGTTCCAGCATGAGGCCACAGACTTCTTTCTGGACGAGAATCTACCGAGGTTTTTGCGAGGACTGCCGCTCTACAACGTAGTTGACAAAGCAGCGGGATACTAGGGTTGGCGCTTACTATAGCTAGCTAGCTGCACAAGGAGAAATCGCAGCCCAAGTTTGCGGAGAGGTGTCGCTTGGGTCGGACGGCACGATCGAGCCTGCACTTTGGAAAGCCAACCAATGACGTTCGCACAATGACCATGCGTCCAAAGGCTCCTCGAGTCCGTCTCCTGACTGGGCGCAGTCTCCCAGGCGCATACTAGTACCTCATAAGGCTAGTCCAACTCTCTACCCGACCCTTGCTTGTATGTAGTCCGTGTCCCAGGCATATCTCATAAGGCTAGGCTAATCAAACTCTCCTACCCAAACTTTGCTTGTATATAGAACTAATAACGAATTACGATGATGATAAGGATACCGGAGTGAATTCATGTCTGACCCAATCCGACCTTGCCTCAATATCCCAGTTTTGACATGGGTGGCGGTGGCGAAAACGGAACATGATAGTGGCACTTGGCCATGTCCACTTCTACCTTGCAACAAGAAATGAACAGAATCTTTCTTCCTTATTCACTCACATCACTCACCCAAAATTGAATTGAATTGAATCGAATCCGCTAAAGTGTACTCCATCGCTCGTTTCCTCCTTTCCGCCGCCTTGGCATGCTGTTCCTCTTGCTTGCTTGCTCTCACCACCCACCTGTCCAATCTTGACTTGCGCACGTGCGCTGAAGGTATGCCCAATAAAGAGCAACCATGAAAGAAGAACGCACTTTTTGGTACACAAGTAAGTCGAGACCATTGTAAGAAAGAGCCAAGACCACAACCATCACGAGCCAAGAGTCCTCTTTTGCAGACGAACCTGCCTCGATTAAAAGGCAAAGTCACCATCATCGAATCCATAGTCATCATCATCTTCTTCATTGTCGTCATCATCGTCATCATCTGCCGCGTGATCCAACGCAGCAGCTTCTTCAAAGTGACCCAATTCGACAAAGTCAACCTTCCATCGCAGAATTCCTCCAATCCCTCCAAATCCCTTGACAAACTGTGTCCCTTCACTGGAGCGATCCGTGACGAATTCCAAGTTACATCCAAAATTCTTGTAGTTATTGGCGAGCCATTCGACAAAGGGTTCCTTTTCGACCGTTTCCAATTCGGTTCCCGAAGTAGCATCCCGAAAGTACGAGTCTTGGGATTCCTGTTCTTTGGTGAGATGCAGAATGGTCTCTTCGCTGGTCGATTGATTTCGCAGGACATATCGATTGACATCGAGATTATCCCAGACAATGAGATCTTCTACAGCCCCGAGTTCCAACGCCTTGAGGGTATCTTCGACCATGAAACAGTACTTTCCGGTATCTTGTGAGATTTCGTCCATGTATTTCTGCAATAGTTTTTTTTCCTTCATCAACTTGACATTGGCGAGTGCGTCGGCACTCATTTCAATGGCTTGATTGAATCCATTTTCTCCTCCGTACGAGACATCAATCATCTTGACGACAATTTTACACAATCTTGGATCGAACAAATCGGAGCGCATGAGTTCCGTCTTGAAATCGGCCGACCCGGCCAGTACAATCCCCTGAACGTTTGGTTTTTGTCCATCGGGTACAAAGAGTTGCGTGGCCAATTCGGCGACTTTGCGTACGTAATTGTGTCGTTTTTCCAATCGAAGTCGGGCAAATCGCAATGCGGACTGTCCACCACGTCCGTGTTTCTTGGGTAGATCGACCGAGAACTTGTGCAAGACTTCGCGATTGGATCCTTGCACGGTTCCGTATAGACATCCGTTACCATCCATGACGATAAAGCCAAAAGCTTCGTCGTCCATGAGCAGATCGTTTAGATTCTCCGTGTGGAATTTGTTGTCACACAAGTAGAGGGACGTATTGATGGGTTTGAATGGTTCAAAGTCGATATTGACTTTTCGTTCTTTTCCGTCTTCGGTAATGACGGTTCCACAGTAAATGACGAGTCCATTTTTGGGACATCGATTGTATAGCTTCAAGCGCTGTTGTGTGGACGTAATGGCGGACAGAACGGACAATCGATTGACTCTCGACTTGATATTGGACGCGGTACCGTATTCGTCACTCAACATTTTGTTGACTCGTGAAATCTGATCTCCGGGAGGGATAATCAAGGAAATCATGGAAGTACCATTTCCACGGGCTGCCTGCAGATTCTTAATCAGCTTCTTGACCTTGAAGATCTCAATCTGCTGGTCTTGTTCGTCTTGCTCCTTGTTGCTCATTGTATTGTTGATGGTGTTGTGATCTATATGACTATGGGTATATACCGGTAGCTCTCTCCTGCTTCTCTCTTACTATGTACTCAGGTACCAGTAGCTATGATATTCTAAAGTGTGATAGCTTATAATGATACTTGCTGACAGTTAGCACGTTTCCTCTTTCAGAATTTCAACTTGAAGACGCTGCTGATGGATGGAGGGAGGGCTGGAACTTGAAGGACGTTGTAAAAAAAGCAATGCTGATCATGATCGACCAAGGACGCACTTTGGTTGCCCGTTGCATTGGAAGAAAATGCTTGTGTGGTGTGTGGCGGCTTCCAAAGGCGCGCGTTGCTAGTGCGCGAACGACAAATACAATAGGGATAGAGCTCAGAGGTTTCTATTCGATTTTGTTCCGGCAGAAAAGGCATCGATCGTGTTTCGAATCGAATCGAATCCAGAAGCCATCCCAGAAGCCAAAACAGCACCCGGTCACACAACAGCCCGAACCCACCAACTCGGATCACTTTCGAGGAGCTCTCATTCATTCGTCTCTCTGGCAACCATTGCAAACCAAATCGTACTCTAATCACAAGCCAAGCCTAACAAATCCAATGATGGAACAAGACACATCTGCCATTACGGACATTACCGACGGGGCCAAACGTCTGGCCCAAGAACTGGACCAGTACATTGCGGCAGGTCCGAACCGCTCGGCCGTCACGGGCGACACTGCTGCTACTAGTAGTACGAGTGCTGCTGCTAATAATGCGACCTTGTCGAACGATGCCATTGCCGACCTTCAATTGGCCACGGCACGAAAGTTGAGAGAGGTGCGTCTATCTAAGTTTGTTTGCTTAGTTAGTCAGTTCTGTCTTGATTTGACTTGAAGGAGGAAGGAAGGATATTTGTTTGGTTGTTTCTATTCATCTCATCTCATTTATTGCTGTTTCTACCGTATTTATTGGTCATTTATTGCTGTTTCTATTGTATTCTTATAGTTACTCCCCAACAACCGCGACCTTCTGCTTCTAGCACAAGAGAGGAATTGGATTCCTCTACTGCTGAGTTGGCTGAATCTACACGACAGACCCGCGGTTCAGGTGGAAGCCTTGTTGGCATTGACCAACATTGCCGAGCTTTGCGCCCAACAGTCCTATTTGCAAGCACAAACTTCCGCCGTTGCTTCGGCTACACAAGCAGCAGCCGCAGCTGCCAAAACCACTCCTCCGGCGCCCTTATCGGCTCCTCTCTACTCCTTTGGAAATACTACTACTAATAGTAGTAGCAATGCCAAAACAAACAACAACAACAGTTCTACGTCCACCACAACCACCTCGACCACTCCAGCCGCCACGTATCCCTATCCTTCTCTCGTAGCACCAGCTCCTGGCAGTGTTCCCTTTCCACCACTCTCCTTCTCACAGACACTCTCTCCGGAAGCCGTTGCCGCATTTGATGCCAGTCTCGTTTCCACCATTCAATCGGGCACGGATGTCGCCAACACGTCGTCCACTTCCACCAACAGTGCCACTTCTACCAATAGTAGTAAAAAGGACACCACCAAGACTGGTGTGGTTGCACCCGCGCATTTTTCCATGCCCCCCGCGCCCTTGTTTCCCACATCTTCCTTACCGGGATCTTTTCAACCACCCAATCTCGCACAACATTCGGGAGGCATCAATTTCACGTCGCTCGCGCCACCACCCAGTGGCGCCCACAATAGTGTCCCCAGCAATGCCTTTTTGCCGCCACCCACACCCATTTCCACGAAACAGGGAACACTCTCGTTTCCACAACAATTGTCTGCGTCCTCCCAACATTTGTTACTACGACATGCCGATGCCATTCCGACACTCATTTCACTACTCTCGAGTCCCAATCGAGAAGTCTACGAACAAGCCATGTGGATACTCGGCAGTATTGCCGCCGGTGATTCGCCAGGAACCAGTAGTACCAGTGGCAGTAATTCGACGTCCAACAATTCCTTGGAACGCGAAAAATCCGTTTCGGCCCGGGATGTCATTCTTGCGGCCGGGGTCATGAATCAATTGTTGAGGTGTCTCGAATCGCATCCCGGCAATCTATCCTTGCAACGTATTGGATCTTGGACTCTTTCCAATCTGGTGGATGGTATTTTTCAACAATCCAGCAGCAATCACAGCAACAACAGCAACAGCAACAATTCGAACAGCAATAACAACAACAGCAACAACAATACCAGCAGTAGCAGCAAATCGGGCAGCAGCAAATCCAATGATTACTCCAGCAGTGATGAAATTGAAATGAACAGTTTGTTGCCCGTTCTACGACGACTCTTGCGCACGGCCGATGCCGAAGTACTCAGTTACACTTGTTGGACACTCTCGCATCTCTGCGATGGACCTTCGTCGCATATTGCTGCCGTTGTCACATCGGAAGATCCCAAAGATCCCAAATGTGGACTCGTGCCGCGACTGGTCGAACTATTGACGCATCCCAGTTGGCGTGTCACCAAACCGGCCCTTCGTACCATTGGCAATATTGTCTGTGCCGAATGCAGCGACGACAATAATAATAATCACGGCTCTTCCTCGGCATCGTCCGCCGCCACAACCGATTACACCGAAGTCATTTTGGAATGCGGCGCCGTTCCGCGCTTGATGGAATTGATTACTCATTCCAATCGCGAAATTCAAAAGGAATCCTGCTGGACATTGTCCAATATTGCCGCTGGCACGGTCGATCAGATTCAAGCCGTCATTGATTCTGGCGCCATTCCGCCATTGGTGAAACTCGTACGCGACAAAAAGACCGATCAAGAAGTCCGCAGTGAAGCCTGTTGGGTGGTCCTCAATGCGACCAGCTGTGGAAGTGATTCGCAAATTGAAATTTTGGTCGATGAAGGATGTGTGGCGGTATTAGGTGTGTTGTTGTCCGAAGCGAGTATGGTCATGATGGCGTTGGAAGGACTCGAACGGGTGTTGCAAGTGGAAGAAACGCGGGAAATGATTCGACGAGAGCAAATTGAAAGCCGCGAGATTCGGGATACCGATGGAAAGCGACCCCCGAATTTGGTCAGTGCGTCTCTGATTGAACAAGCGCGAGAGAACCACAACAGCAGTGCCGTCACGAAACGGGCGGATCGGATCTGGAAGCAACACTTTGTTTCATGCGCGTTGTGCAAACAGTCCTTTAGCAAGCATCGTACCAGCGATGCGTCGTTTTGTGAGGAATGCAAGTGCTACGTGTGCTCGGGATGCAACTGTCAAATCTATCACTTGTCGTATCAAGAGGAACTCTGGGCTGCCAACGAGGAAAAGACGGAAAAGAAGAAAGAGGCCAAGAAGAGCAAGAACAAAAAGAAGAAGGAAAAGCTTAAACAGAAGAAAGCCAAGCAACAACAACCCACAAACACGCCCGAGGAGGAGTGCGAACTTGACAAGGAACCAACTAAGGAAGGCGTACAGTCGACAATCATTTCCCCGACATCGGTGTCGTCCAGGGATGAACGAATGAATGCGCCCCCTCCCAAGAATCAGATGGCTCCCGGTGAAAAGCAACCGGGTCCCGAGTTCGAAGCGGAATCGAACGAACCAGAGCAGACATCTGTTGATTTGGTTCTGTACTTGCAACAGACTGGAAGCATCATTGCTCTTGCCAAATTGATTGACATGCTTGATTATGGCGAAGAAGAATCAGGCGCCTAAAAGAAATTGCGTCCCTGCGTACGAGCTAGTGTTCGCAGAATCCCACCTGCTGCATTTATTCTAAATTAGTCCGATTCGATTCTCATCAACCAATTCTGTGGCACTTGTACTCAGGGTTTATGTAGTCTGCGCCATACCGGTACAGGCTATCGTTTGATTTCTCTTCGTCCCTGTGTGGATGTGATTGTCCATGTGCATATGAGCAACTGAATTGAGTTCCATCAGACACAGAGATATTCGGGAACACTTCTTGCATGAGCTTCGTACAGTACGAAAAGGGGGCTCCCGGTAGGAGACTACAATGCCAAACCCTCTGTGCTTGAACACACGAGTAACTGCTAGCAAACTAGCTAGTTAGGTTTGCAAGGACCACAATCACATCCACAGAGGGAAGTGCCATGGCAAGCAGTTGTGTTGGAATTCACTCGAAAGACTGTACATGGCGGAGAACCATAGCATTTCATTTCCTTCTGGTAAATTTTGTCACACAACTCTTCAGGGATGCTGCCTGACAAGGATGTGCCTGTGACTACCAGGCTGGTCAAATTCTCCAGCATAAGCATTTCTGTCGGAAGGGTGCCAGAAAGCTTGGTATTCTGAAATTCGAGCTTCCTGGCATCAGACAGCTGACCAACTTCTGCAGGAATAGTGCACGAGATCATGTTGTCATTGATGTATATCCACTGCAAGTGGGAAAGTCTGGAAAAGAGAGCAGGTGGTAGTGTGCCCTGCAACTGGTTGGAGCCAACATTGAGGTTGGTCAGCTCTGAGAAAAGCAAAGGTGGATTCTGTGGAATGAGTAAAACAAAATCTTTATAACGGATATGACCCCAATGGACGGATCATCACTATGTTGAAGCCGAAGCTTTGGGGAACCACACCCCGCCGCGGCGGGGATTGGCATGAGTCAACACGAGTACGATGCAACGCAATAGCAGGTTTCTGAACTCACCGGTCAGTTCAAAGACCTCATGTGGCAATGTTCCAGAGATAGAATTCCCATCCAATACCTGGATGGTCTGCCAATATGTATATGCAAGATCAGTGTACTGGAATACCATAACCTATGACAGTCAAATATGATTCCTCGGACCTTGCTTACCAGCTTTGTCAACTGTCCCAGCTCACTCGGGAATGTGCCCTGATTTGTCCAGTCAATCAAATAGAGGAGTTCCAGTTCTGTCAGCTTGCCAAGTCCAGCTGTATCAAAAGGAGTCCAGAAGATGAGCCATCCTTCTTTGGAACCACCCTTCCACATGTGATGCTAACATGAATTCTTACATGGAATTGACCTTACTGTCCTGCTGCTTTGGCCTGATAGGTCAAGTAAACGAAACTGTCTTGCATTGCGAATGACTTCTTGAAGGATGTAAGCGCTTGCATCATCGGTTGTAAATACTAGCACTGGCATAATGAAAACAGTGCGTCTTGGCAGGATGGTTCACAGCAGGAGTCAAGTGGAGTCCGTACTCGTACCTGTGGTTCTCTCTATTGCTATCCAACTATGCAACTAGATAGTTAGTTAGGTTTACAAGGACCACAATCACACCCACAGAGGGAAGTGCCATGGCAGGCAGTGATGCTGGTATTCATTCGCAAGACTTTACACGGTGGAGGACCATAGCATTTTATTTCCTGCTGGTACATTCTGTCACACAGCTCTTCAGGGATGCTACCTGACAAGGATGTTTCTGTGACTACCAAGCAGGTCAACTGCTCCAGCATAAGTATTTCTGTTGGGAGCGTGCCAGAAAGGCTGGTATTCTGAACTTCTAGCTTCCTGAGACCAGACAGCTGACCCAGTTCTGTAGGAACAGTGCCCGAGAACATGTTGTCATTGATGGATATGAACTTCAATTGGGAAAGTTTGGAGAAGAGAACTGGCGGTAGTGTGCCCTGCAACTGGTTGGAGCCAACATTGAGGTTGATCAGCTCTGAGAAAAGCAAACAAAGGTGAATTCTGATGGCAGAAGTCAGCACGAGCATGATACAACACAATAGCATGTTTCTCAACTCACCGGTCAGTTCAAAGACTTCATGTGGCAAAATTCCAGAGATAGAGTTCCCAGGCATGTAGAGAGAGGTCTGTTGATATGTATATGCAAGATCAGCATACTTGCATACCGTAACGTATTCAGATTGAAATAGGATTGCTCGGGCCTTGCTTACCAGTTTTGTCAACTGCCCAAGCTCACTCGGGATAGTGCCCTGATTTGTCCAGTCAATCAAATGGAGCCGTTCCAATTCTGTCAGCTTGCCAATTTCAGCTGTTTGAAAAGGAGTCTAAAAGTGAGTCATCCTTCTTTGCAGCTACCCTTCCACATGTGATGCTAGCATGCCTTCTTACATGGAATTGACATTACTGTCCCACTGCTTTGGCTTGATAGCATAAGCGAACGAAGCTTTTTTGCAGTCTGAATGACTTCTTGAAGAATGTATTCAGTTTCCAGCCTAGGGCACTCCTGAATTGTTAGAGACTGCAGGCCAGGCAATTTGTAGAGCTCACCTGGTACTGAACCTAGATTGAATGACAATGTCAGGTTTCCATTCTGCTGACCAAACCGGAAAAGAAAGCACACATACCTGTTAGATCAGTTCTCACCACAGCAAACGTCGACAAGTTGCTCAGTCGTCCAATCTCAGAAGGAATTTGCCCCTGATTTGACGTCAGAATCAAATGAAGCTCCTGAAGACTCTGCAGTTGACCAAACTCGGATGGAAATGAGCCATCAATGTTTGTCACACTCAATACTAATCCAGTCAATTTTGTCAGCAGTCCAAACTCAGTGGGGATAGTCCCTCTGAGTTGCAATTGCTGATGCACTTTGAACGATTGCAAGCTCTTTCCCAGCAACGAAATCTCTGGAGGAATTGTTCCTTCCATGTTATTGGCATTCCAAAATTGCAGTGCCTTGATTTCTCCCATCTCATTACAGCACAGGTCTGGAGAAAAGGTTTGATTAAAAACTATTTGTTCCCAGCTGCATTCATTAGTCTCCCAATCCAGCCATCCCCGATTTTTCACCCAATAGTCCCCTCTTGTGGAATAGTAGAACGTGGCCATAGCAAATCTTTGTATCAGTCTCCATTTTGGTAGATGTGGTTGAGTGGTGGTTTGGTTATTGATGTTGTTGACCAACCATTGATAGGCCTTGGACTGTAGAGATCTGGAGTTTGCCAGTGCCTCTAGTGTGCACTGAGGTAGATTGAGTGACTCCAAGAAGGTCTCTGATGTTGTGGCTTCCACAGGATTTCCAGGAATGATACGGATTGATTCATTTTGATTTGGTAGTTGATTTCTGTTTCCTTGCTTAGAGGATGTCAGCACAAAAATTAGGACAAAAAAAAATACAGCAACAAAAGCCACAATGATCTCAGCGGAAAGGGAACAAAGCAACTTTTGCCTCCAGTAGTAAGCTCTGGATATCGCATTGGAGGGAAGTGGCTCTGCATTGGGTAACAGACCTATCTGCTGATCATCATCTATCGGATGTGCAATGATTTCATCATCTGCAATTTCTTCAACCCAATTGTCAAGGCCTTCCTCGTTCGTACCAGGATTACTACCGGTATTCGAATGATTTTCTCTGTCGTTAGCAAGACCTGGACCATCAACGGCATATGCCCCAGGTTGTTGTTGTCTAGAATATTCGGGTTGTCTTGTTAGAATGGTAGGTTGTGGCACTTGTGCATCATCTGTGGTTCTGTCTTGGCTGTTATCGATCATCTGTGATGTTGTGCCAATTTTTTCGGTGAGTGCTACTAGCTCCAAGCCTCCAGCTGTCTCAAGACGTGCAGCATCAGCTCTTTCTCTGACAATCTTCATAATATCAAAGCCACTTGTGGTTGATGTTGGAAGAGGAGGAGTGGCAGCAGCGGCAGCAAGACAAGCCACAGGCGGAGAACGGCTCGAGGAACCACCATCATGATCATCTTGGGTTTGTTTGGACTCATCGTTTTCTTGATCATCTTCTGAACTTCCTAGCTGCAATCTCAACTCCACAATCTTGAGAAGATTGACGCCATCATCATTGTTGTTGTTATTATTGTCAGACATGGTGGTCAATCAAGGGATAAAGCAATGGATCAGATGCCAGAACTGGATGCTTCCATAAATAATAATGGTAACCTATCACTCTATTATACCGTAGCCCTCTTTCAACTGTGGTGTGGTTCCGACAAATTGGTTGCCAAATGGTACGGGTACGGAGCGTGACAATAGACTACAAGTAAGATACCACCTTTCTTCTTTTTGGAACAGAACACGCTCTTGTTTTGTCCTCAGACCGCATCGTCACTTCCACGCCAACGGCCATCTGTTTGACATCCAACCTCCAACCAATCAAAATCCACGATGTAAGCCAACGGCCGTGACAAGCTGTCCTCGCTCCCAGCCTTCCACGATCCCAAATTTCAGCGCGGAACAAGCGATTGACCAACAAAGAACCCGGCCATCACCGCCCATCACAATTTGCGCCTCGAGACTTGAAATACCAAACAAGATACAAAGATGAGACTGGCAATGTTGATGATGTTTGTGTGGTTGGCTTCCCTCCTCTGTCGAGTGGAAGCGTTGGTCTTTGTGACTGCAAAAATCAACCCTGTTGCAGCCATCAAAGCCGTTAATCCTATCAATGTTTTCTCCTCACGGGTCCCACATGATACCAATGCGTTCTCCACCGCTCTCAATGCCCGAGAGAAGCATGTCAAGATGGCTGCAAGGTTGCTCGATTCAAGCTCGTTCGGCCACAGCGATGATACTATTCAAAGTCATCGAGACGAAATTGTGGATCTTGTCTACCTGCGATCATTGCAGCGAATGAATGGCTTTGGGGTTGAACCGACGGAATAACACCACATTCGAGACATTCACTGATCTGCCATGCTGCCTGGAATTGGCAGGCTTCTCTACCATCCAGCCAGCCCTCGTTCCCAAGTTCTGCTGTCAATGTACCCTACGGTAACCTGAAAGGCAACACTGTCTCATTGCAAGAGTTTCCATGACAACACACCAGCGAGAAGAGCTGTTCCAATACATACTGACCAAATCCATCAATCTGCATAGTCTAGAATATCTTTACTTAATATAGATACATTCATTTCTTTACGCCCAACTACACCTGTACAGAAACGCCGTAGATAAGCCTTCTCGTTTAAAAGGCAACAAACTTGAGCAGACTTGGGCCAAATGATTCAGCAAAGTTCAGATCACAAAATGCTGCAGCTGTCTACCAGCTAGCCACTGCAAGAGTTGCTAATCCTGCTTGTTCTCCTTAGGCACTGCAGCTTTTGCAGCAGGGAACCTTGCCAATAACTTGTGACACAACGATCAAGATTCAACTATCTGCTTGCCTTTACAGGCCCTCGTTAAAGCTAACTGTTCACTGGCAACCTTTAAAATACGGTACCGGCATGTACGTGTACTGATGCAATCCAACATCTGGCCAAACCAGAAGAACGCAAAGACAGAGCCCCGGCTTTATGCAATGCCACTGGTCATTGGGATGGCAAGAAAACGACTTCCCATGAAACCTCCACAAGAAACAGCTTGCAACACTGCGAGTTCCTGCTGTTAGCTAGCTAGAGCAGCAGCACAATGTGCACGGGAAGAAGAGAAGGTGCCAAACGATGAGGATGTACAGTAGGACAAGCAAGATGCCAATGGAGCCTCTTTGTGACGGGGGAGGGCTCTTGCCATGCCAATGACGCGGTGCAAGGAAGTGAGCAAAGAAGTACTAGTATCGCATTTGAGATTGGCCGAATCAATCAAGGATCACCGCTACATGGTCCTTGGTATTGCAAGTAGAGAGCACAGCACAATGGCAAGAGAGAGATCAAAAGCCGAACGATTAAAGCCAAAGAAAGATGGGTAGGAAAAGTGAGGCAGTGAACAAGCTACAAATCTTTGACTAGCTAGACAAGCTGACGAGACACAAACGAAACACTTTAAAGAGATGAACTGGGGCAAATCGACTACAGGTACAGGTACGGTAGGTACCGGTACCGCACAAGCTACGGCAGGTACCGGTACAAGCTGTACTTGGAGACGTTCCCGTTCTGGTGGCTACAGTTGCAGTCAGGGTGTACCTTACGTTGTTTGATGGAGCTCTTTGCGGGGACAACTTTGCATTCCAGCTCTCTTTTGACGTGATGGTGGTCCCTCTCATTTTTAAAAGGCCGCACCAATGCTCTTACAATGCATCTAGCTAGCCTTAATTGTCGGCGGGGAAGCAAACAGTTGAACGCTACCAGAGCACCTCGCTGTTAGATACTTTGCTGCCCATCCCCGTTGCCTACTGCAGTGACTGAAAACCTATGTCGCAGTGTGCTTCGGCCCCGAATGACGGCAACGTCAGTTGTAACGCAGAAGACGGATTAGTACTCTGGGCTTCCTCCTGGATGGAATCGAATCAGCTTTGGCCCCACTATCACATACATGTAGTTGTCTCCAGCTAGCTCGTACGGTAGCTTCTTGTGGGACACAATAGGTACCAGGTAGCTAGAGCTGAAGCATGCCTCCTTCACCCCCGCACGAAGGATTTACCCGGAACGACGTCGTCGTGTCCTTGACGCGTCTTTTACCACGCCCGAAGATCGACTCCCGCAGCGGAAAACGAAGAGCTCCAAGGGCTGCTGGCCATTTCAAAACACGCCGCCGCCCTCGGGTTGCAACCTCTGTGCTAATGTCGAGACCCACAGAGCTTCAAATTGCCTTATGGTTTGCTCCCAAAACAACGGCATGAGAACGCCTAAATGTCATTCAAACACAGACCATTTAATATCTTGCGAAACCAACCGGCGCCGGCTCGTAAAAGAAAAGAACCAAAGCAAAAGATCTGCCTCACCAAACACCCTCTCCCGAGAAACCCGAGGAGGACGTCTGCTCACAATTTTGACCTTTGCCAAGCTTGCTATCCTTGCAATACCATATATTATCATGTCAGCTCAAACTCAATCAGCGGTGCTTGTTCCGGATGACAATGGCGACAACATCAACAACAACAAGCCAACCATGACGATGACTTTGCGCCCTCGAGGTTTGCGCTCTCGAACTCCACGGGAGCTCCTCCGCAAGATGCCTCGACGTGTCTCGATGTGTTCCACCGCTTCACGAGGTTCTACTCCCTCGAACGTTCCTGATCGTCCTACACCAACTCCGTCTCCACCTCCCGTTGTGATTGTGAAGAATGCCGCAGACAACACCATGAACAACAACGGCAGCAGCCGAGCGTCCGACCGCCCCGAGCCAGTCGTGGTGAATGCGACTGCACCCCCCAAGACTCTCGTCAAGCCAGCACCCACTCGTCGAAGCAGCAGTGATAACAACAAGAGTTCCCCCTTCAAGTCTATTGCCATGACGGCCGCTTCCGTTCACAAGCCATCCTGTCCCAACGAAGCCGCCATGATGCGCAAGGCTCTCTTGAAGCAGTCCCGTCGCAAGTCGCACGAAAGCTTGGACAAAGTCGTCATGGCCAAGGCTCGTGCTATTGCCTCTCCCATGCCTCGTAGAGTCTCTCTCCAACCCAACAACAGCGACAAGAACAACAGTTGGGGTGAGATCCTCCTGCCAGGAGACTTGTCGTCGCCGCACGGTGGTCCATCCCGACAGCAGCAACAACAGCAAACCACAAAGCGACTCTTCCTCCCGATTCATGGCCGTATCCAAGGCGAGCTGATCCTCACGGGGATTGTGATTGAGAAGGAATTCTCCCCAGCTGGCCAACGGCTCCGTGGCATTTACAAGATGAATGATCCTCATGCGACACATCTGAACGCTGGTTTCCACAAGGTAAGACGACGAGATACCTATGGTACGATCTGGAACATGGCGGACAGAACACTTTCTCTAACTACTGCTTGCATTCTATCTCGTATTTCAGATGAACTATGATGAGGCCATTACGGAGTTATCTTGCTACGAGAACAGCTCCTTTGTTGAGGGAGACTTGAAGATGACAAAGAACGCGCCCATCAACCGCCTCGATGTCATGGGATTTCATACCGGCCGGCCTCTTGGACGACCGATTGCCGTCTCGCCGTCGCCACAACTTGGCGGCGGCGCCACCTCTTCCTTCTCACCCCACTGGCAAGAACGAGAGGGTTTGACTACAACTGCGCAGACACAGCCACTCTTTCAAGCTCTTCCCAACGACGACATCTCAGGCTATATGAAGAACTTGCGTTATCCTTACGACCCACAACAAGCCCACGCTCTAGGTGCCGCCACCATCCAAGACGACGTCGACGACCATCTCGGCATGTTTGGATTGGCCGACATCCAGGGCAACGAGCGATGGATTGTGTGCCCCGAACTCGCCCAGTGCACGCATCGCTTTCCCTACAACAACCTTCGAACGCCACAAGATGTCGTCCAAGCCACGGTACAGCCCATTCGAGCAGGCGATTGTGCTTTGGTGCTGGTGTGTGGTCGCGGCAGTGCCAACCCAATTCAGGAACCTCTGTGGATGCATGTCACGTCCGTGACGAGTTTTGGCATGATCAGTGCGATTCCCTTGCAAGATTCCAAGCTCGACCCGACGTCGATTCATCGCAAGACGTACGTGTCCTTTCCTCTTGGCTGCGTGGTGGGTCTGCAGCGCGGTCGGAATTGGAAGAACTAAAAAGAGGCGCCACGGGAGGTCGACGGCGGCAGCAGCAAGCAAACGAATGTCACGATCCTTGTAGCCAGTAGCTCTCTTCCTCCTTGCTCGCTTGCTCTGCTTTTCTTCCTTGCTTCGTGGAATGGTGTGGAACTCTGCACGTTGCCTGGTTCCGTATGTCGCACGGCTGTGAAATTGGTCAAAGATAGAATAAACTTTAACAGTTTCGTACGCTAGAGAAACGCTTTGAAAATGGATGCAGGAGACGGTGCTTCTTCGTAGTTGCCTGAACAGTAGGTACGTACCGGTACCTGGTACGGTACCTCTCTATCTAGCTGCTAGCTAGCTAGCTACAAGCAAATTGGTAGCTCTTGATGCATCCTCTGGACCATCTTTAGGGTGGCTGGTCTCTGTCTTCACGCCTTGACTGTACCCGAATGGACGGACCGGTATGGGCAGTACAGTACCAGAGGAAACGGTAGGTCGCAACTTTGTGTTCCTACTTCAGTGCGGCCGAGCGAAACCGGAACGCGCAATTGCAAAGCTTCAGTCACTTCAGCCAGCCAGGACAGTACTGGCTAGCTGCCGGTAGTACCTCGAGTCTCTACTCTAGCTAGCTGGCTACCGTAGCTCATGATGCATCAATCTGGTTTGGCGTGTTGACCATATTTGAGGGTGGCGGCTGGTCTCTGTCCACTCTTTATGCATTGCATGGTCGTGTTCCCAATCCAGCTAGAGTGCGGCCGAGCGAAACCGGAACGCGAGACGTTCAGCCAAGAAGAGAGCTTCACGGGCAGCACCGGAGTTATTATCAACATGGACAGCATCAAGCAAGCATCAGCCAGGACTTGTCCATGTAAGCAATCAATCAATCAAAAAGAAATAGCAATTTATAGTATCCAAAAAACTGTCTAGATATGTAAGTTATATATTTTTCTATCACCTCCCATGCCCTGCACGCCTTTTTGCAACACAAATAAGTCAAGTAGCTAAGCCTCCTGTCAAGCTTGCCTTGCTTGCATTCGCAGACCACGTCCCAGAAATTTCTTTTTATGAGGTGTTGTTGTTGGCGGAGCAGCCGTGCTAGCAGCCGGTGGTGGTGCCATTTTGTGGTTGTTGCTGGCAGGCATCATTTGTGGAGCTTGCTGTTGCTGTCGCTTGATGAGTTCCATACCCCGCGCCTGCAAGTACTGCATCAATCGTTGGGCTTCTATGGCATCGGGTGTATCGCAACCGCGTCGCATGACGACTTCATCGGCATGGCCCATGCGTCGGGCAAACAGAGTCGCATCGTGGGTCATGCGCTGGGCGGCCTGGCCGACCAACTCCCATCGTTCGTCCACTGATACGGTGTCGTGTTGTTGACAGAGGAGTCGATACTGCGCGACAATGTCTTGAATGATGTATCGTTTCTTGGTGGTCCGTTCGGTATCGTGTTTGCGACTTAGGTAGCGTTCAATGCCTCGATTGTACAGGGCATCGGGCAATCGAGCAAACGTCTCGAGTTGTTTTTGACAAAGCGGTGCTGGCAGTCCATTGTTATTGGCCAAACAAAAGGTATCGTGCAAGAGCATTCCCAATCCCGTCGTCCGCCATTTTCGCGCACGACTCTTGATGGCCGCCTTGCAATCGTTCATTTCCCATACTTGATGAAAGAGTTCTTCCAAGTAGGCACGGTCGCTCGTGTCAATGCCTTGGTAGACCAGGAGCGTGTTGCGTTCTTCCACAAAGTACACCCGGCGTTTGTTCTTTTTTGGTTTGCCAGTGTCCTTGTTGTTGTGGTTGTTGTTGGTCAAGGCAGAGCGCAGAGGAGCTACGGATGGTATTGTCATGATGCTGTAGTATGATAATGGAGTGGAATTTGGCGGATTGTGTGAAAGACCCTTCAGAGATTTTATGAAGAGATAGAGTGTTGGATTGAATTGCCTCGAGTCAGCTACGGTAGCTAATAGCTGATCGGACTTGATCAAGTCTGATCAATGGGATTCCCAAACTGGGTTAACTTGGCGTTCTTTGAGTCGAGACCACGATGAAAGTCTTTTGCCTCTCTCTTCTCAGTTAGTTAGTTGGTTGTGGGATGAACACTGGTGAGCTTTGCCTTGTCGGTCGCCTCTTCTCTCCTGAGATATGGTATCGATGCGGAATGAGACCTTTCTTCCACTTATGTCTGCAGAAGAAAGACTCAGTGATAAATCCTGGAACTCAGTGGAGCGTTCCAAAGATACCTTCGTGGCTCCTTCGTGGGCTTGGTATGTACGGTATGTCATACGTTTACCAAGAGCCAAGAACTTTTAACTTAGAAATAATGATGCTGGCATCAGAACTGGCAGTTCGGGGACATTGTGGATGTACCGAAATTGGCCACTTAAACCCCACGTTAAACACTCATTCAACCTTTCTGTTAATGCGAATGACTGAAGCAGTCGTATTTCGACTACAAGAAGGTGCGGTACACGTACTTTTTAAACTTTAACCAGACCGCGCAAGATTAAAACGGGCCCTTCAACTAGACATAGAAAAATGGATTGGTCATGGAACCTCCATTATTAATGGAATGCCACAAGAGAAAGGATGAATTAACAATGACACTTCTGAAACTAGGATTTAAAGGGCCACAATTCCAGCTAAATAGCTGCAGCACCTTCTCAGCCATCAGCACCTTCTCATACCGGTACAGATACCGGTACGGTAGATGTCCTCTAGCTAGCTAGAGGTCCTACCGGTAGCTAGCTGATGTCCTGCGTTGGCTTCTGTTTACCACCGGGCTGGGGTAGCTTGAGCCACTTGTACTGCAGACAGTACCGAAAGCTAGCCACTGGTAGCTAGTGGCTAGCCACACTGTAGCTACCAAGAGCCAACCCAAAGGCTTTGTTTGCCAGTTTGGGAGCCTGGAGGCCGTCATATCACGACTTTCTAAGCATCTGTCTAACATTATAAAAGTAACTCTCGTGAGGAATACATGTAATCATGAGATAGGGATTGGTCCCGGCCTTCAGCTCCCATTCCAACTCGAGCAAGCAGTGGCTGGCTGTAATATTAAAACAAAACGACCATCTGATCGGTGATGTATGTGGCCAATGGCCAATAGCCAATGACCAAGAAGATAGTTCATACTGGGTCGTTGCCTCCATAATACACATCATGAAGTTCATCCATGTCCATTACTCTTCCGACTACCGTAGCTACTAGCTAGCTACTAGCTACAAGCTCCAGCTAGCGCTTTGCTTGCCTGAAGCAACTTGGGTCGTCCTTCTCAAGCATTACTAGTACGCATTACGAATACCGGTGGCTTCAAGCGAGGAAGCTGGCTGACTACTACTACTAGCTAGTATCCGCACTCAGCCAGAGACCGAAGGCGATCGTGCAACGAGCAGCTCGCTCCAAGAGAGCAATTCTTATTAGGAAAGAAAGGGGACAGAAAGCCAATTGCGCTGCTACCACTTGGGCGTAGGCTTCTACCATTCTAATGTTGGGGGATCCCAATCTACAATGTCCGGGATCTGAGGCATTACGGCATTACTGTAGAAAGAGATTGAAGACAATGTCATGTTGCACTGGGAGATCTCTGAGATCCAGGAGGTGATAGTGTAACATCCTCATCAGCACCTCCTGTTCCTGTTTCCGGCGAATGTTACACGCAGAGCCCACTTTGGTCTATGGTACCGTGCGCATTGAGGAAGTAGGTACCAACCAGTATCGGTGCCATTGTACAATCTCTGGCTTCTACTACTCTAGTTCCGGTAGTACATGTACCGTGTAAGCTTGTGTGATGGTGTTTTCGATGAATCGGGTTGAAGCTGACCGGAAGCTTTCTTTGCAGACATTGCTTCAATCCTCCCTAAACACTAAACAGACTCTGAGACGTGCACGAACAGACATGTAGTGGTACCGGTGTACCGGTACGCTTTCACGAGCTTTTTGATGAGGTATCTTTCATGGAGAGTTCGTCTATTGCATGCGATACACAATCAACACACCTCCCCAACCACACAGTCTCCCTTCCAATCAATCCAGAGTCAGGAGCCGAAGGTGCCTCCAAGAGCACTGGAAAGGTATCTCATACCCTCTGGTTCTCACTCTACTGGTCGTCAGAAACGACCGTTTTTCGGTTGTACCAACAAACTCTTCCATTGGCCCCATGTCACTACAATCGTACAAGCGGCGACATGCCAAGCCTTGGTTGATGCGAGCAGCACCCCGCCGAGAAAAAGATGGAGGACGACAGAAGATGGCCACGCACGGGACCGGACGGTGAAGGATGGTTACCGATGGAATCCGTGGGAGAGGACTGGAAGATGATATTGGATTGATTGATCTAGCTAGCGGCTGGATGGACAGATGGTTGGACAGAAACGAAGGATGATCCAATCCGTTTCGGCATGAGATGAATGAGACAACGAGACCCCTCATTCATTCCATTGTCCTGTGCTCATTATTTCCGACGATCCTCATCTATCTCTACCGTACAGTACAGTCCCCAATCTACAACCAGATATCACAATGGTGCGCAGCAAGAAGGTAATGCGATACTTGGCCAAGTGGGTTCCTACTACCTTTCTGGTTAACGAGATGCAATGGCGCTTCCCACAAGATACAGATTTTGTGCTTCGCTGGGTTGACCAGGCTTCAGACGACTCCTTTGAACGAGCACTGTTGGAACTACTCGCCATGAAAATGTCACCATCCAAACGTCAGTGTCTTTTGGGCCCAGGCAGCTCAACTGACATGCTTTACAGTAGATTGCGAGAGCCTCGCTTCCCTGATAGTGAAGGATACTGGTGTCGAGGACACTACTACCTGGCTCTCAAACACCGTTGGTACAATGAAACCCGGACAGGTCGGGCAGAAACACTGGATGGGCTGTTTCAGCTGATCTCGGCCAATCCGCAATGTTTTTGCAATCTATTGAAATAGGAGAGCTCATCAGGGCCAGATACCGGTACGGTACAAACGAAGTATCATACAATACTGAAGTGTAGACAATAAGCAATTAATTATTGATTTTAAAAAGAGACATGCTGATAGACGTAGCTGTAGTCAAACTTTGGATTGACTTGTCCTGTATCATCGTTCAATACTTGTAGCAAGAATTCTTTTGCAGACACGATAGGATCTCACTAATTGAGATCATCACCGAAGAGGAGGCATTCTGCGGCGTCGGCTTCCCACAATGCACAGTCAAAGTCTCCTTTCTCGACAATCCACTCGGGAATCGGTGTGGCACCACAGTAAAACTTGCCATCACACGTTTCCTTCACGGGCACGCCGAGGTTATCAAAATGCAACGGGCATCTCACGTAATCACCAAAGAGAAAGCACTGGAATCCTTGAGGCCAGCAGTAGCGAAGAGCTCTTTCTTGAGGAGCCTTGGCGATAGCGCTGTAGACAATGATGAATAGGCAGTACAAAGCCACAAAAAAGGCAGGGATAGCCATGAAAGCCACAGCCGCCAAGAACAAGCCTCCCACCCGACCAGCCCAAGTGATACGGCGGCAACGCTTTTGCTGAAGCATGCCCATTCCAAGTGCAAAGCTTAGGGCGACATCGTGAGGAAGACCATCCTTGTATTCCAAAGCGCCAGTTGCGGCTGTAAATACCACAACGCGGTCTCGGGGCGGTCCAGCGCCGACTCGGCCATGCGAACCATTGATTACGGCTCCGGTCCCTATGTTTTCGTTGCCGGACACTTCGTCGAGAGACTTCGCAATCCCTTTCGGCGCCCCTTCCTCAAGACCACCGAAAACGAACACGTGGGTCCATTTGAGCTGGGCGGTAAACTTGTTCGACAGTAACTCCATGAAAGTGTACAGGATGGCTTGAAACAAAGCCGTCCACCAAGAAACCTCACCAACGAGGACGGCCTTGAAACGACCGTCCGAACCGATGTACTCCACCGTGCCCCCGTTGGCTCCGATGGATCCCATAAAAGCATCATGTTCCTAACGAATGCAAAGGAGACAAGACGTAAAACGGCGGCCGTGAGTGACGCAGTGAGCGGTTCGATTCGACGTACGCAATCTCTGCCAGCGGCACTTACTGATGTGAGAACACGGGGGTTGTTTTCGACGAGAGTCGCGTCGAATACATCGAAGCCCTTTGCTTCACTGCCAGTGACAACAAGCTTCAACGTTTCCGAGTTTGTCTCGGCGTTCGAGACAAAGAAGTCTTGGCGGCCACGCACGTTGGCGTCAGCAAGTCGAGCATTCTGCGGGTTGACTTCGAAATTCATTGGCCTTATCGGAACAAGACGTGGGGCAAAGCGAAGGTAGTGTAGGTATTAATACGGTAGTTGCTTGAGAAGACGCAAATAAACTCTTCTTTTGACTGTTTGTGAGTGGCTTCGGCAAAGTCTCAGAAAATTTCCTTCGAGCTCGAGCAAGTGAGTCTGTCTCAGAGAAACGGTCCGAAAAAGGCAACGAATCCTTGAACCGTTTCTCACCGAGAAACGGTCTGAAATGACGACGCGACCAGCAAAGCCGTCACCATACCGTACGGTACCGGTACCGGTACTGGTACCTGGTTACAGTATCGGTACCACGCGGACGAGCAAAGGACCTTCAGCCCTGGACGAGCAGAGGCAGGCGTTTCATGAGAGTTCAGTCTTGCGGACAGTCGCTTTAGCTGTCACTCACTCGTTGCACGGTCGAGACAGCGAACTGTGAAGCCGCCTTGTCACACACGAGGGCAAGCGAACTTTTGAAGGCTTCGAGGTTGGAACCGTCGATTGAATCATTCACTCTTTTGGTCGATTTCCACGAAGCTGGTTGGCATGTCAACAAGATGCAAGGGCCGATGTTGAGGTTAAGTTCTCCTGTCAACATCCAGAGCATCCGCACCGCTCCTCCCCGGAAGTTTGCCCTTGTGGCCAGGACAAAACCGAGGGCGTAATGTCGTCGCCATGCATTTAGCCCTGCGTTTGTCCGGGTGGCCACGGGCTTGATCAGTGGGCGAGTTCATGGGCGTTTGTGGGTCGATTACATGTCAACAGGCAATAGGGATGCCGGTTTCAGCTTCCAGTCGGTCGGTCTGCAACGTATCGGTATGAGCATCTGCTTTTCCCTGCCCTCCTCGAATTGAAATCGAACCCATGAGTAGAACTAGTACATGATCGGGGACTTCTTAAACACTTGTCTTCTAGTTGGCCTACAAAAATAGTGCTCATGTGCAGGAGCCGCGCTACAACGACGAGAAACAATGTGCTTCAACTCGAAAGTTTCTTTATTTTATTATCCTATTTTAAAAGTAGCTTCTTTTGTTTTGTCCAGTGTCCTTCAAAATCAGTGTCAGGGGATCTTCTCTTTGTGTTTTATGCATATCGGCGAATCTTGCTTCAATCCCCAACACAATATGGCGCCAAGCAACGCAAAGCACTCCCGTCTATCGTTGTTCGAGACCCGCCAAGCTTCGCAATAATATGCTCAGAGTGGAAATGGCCTCGTGTTGATCAGTCTTGTTGGCCCATGGTACTTGCAACGCCATCGTCATAGTTCCAAGACCACCCGATTGCTTCAATTCGCGGAGTCGTTCTTGGTTATCCAGACAAAGGTTTGCCAAAGCCCCAAAGGAATGCGCCTGGATTTCTGGGTCTTCGGGGTGCTTCGTCATTGAGCTAGTCACAAGGGCAACGACTCCTTCAGCCTGAAGAGGATCTTTGCACGACGACGCAACGTTGTCGTCTCGATGTCGAGTCAGTGCGGAGAGAGCCCGACATGCCGTCTGCTGAAGATGAACATTGTCGACATGTAGTTCCATCGCATGAGCAATAGCTGGAATGCCTCCAACTTCTCCAATGGCTACCTGTGTGGTTGCGTCAATGGCCATTTTCTCCAGGGCAGCGCATGCAGCCATCTGAATGGGAGCCTGATCCGGCTTCATATCCATGGAACGAAGGATAGCCAAAAGTCCACCGTACTTAACAATATTCGAACGCTCGTGGACACCCTTGGAAGCTTCCTGCTCCAATTTTTCCAGCGCAGACCGGACGACAGCCGAATCAGGACTCCAAATGTCACGGCGCAACAGCTCAGCCACAAACTGAGATGATTCCGACGATACGCAGGACTTGAAGGAGGCGCCATCTTGATGTGAAGATCCATCGTCACTCACTGTCGTGTCTCTGGTTATATCCGTGTGCTGGCTGCCAACAATCGAAGGCAGGTCAGGAGCATCTGCAACGGTTGTCGCTGTTCGGTAGGATTCCTTCGTCTTGGTACTGCTGTCGAGGTAATGGACAGCATGATGATGATGATCTTGAGAGGCACTGCCCACGTCCATCATTGTGTTGTCAAATGTGATCTGCGTCAATTCATCGTCATCGTGCCCGATAGTGATGGTCGGGTAGCTGTCGTGATTCTGCTCATCAATCGATCGTTGTTGTGGCTGTTGGTGTCGTAACTCATTGGGAAGCTCCATATCTGCAAACATGCGACTGCTAAGCATGCTGGAAAGGTGTGGCGAAGTCAAATCTGGCGAAACCATTTCCTTGAAATTGGGCTGTCCATCCTGTATCGTCACTTCCATGTAACTCTTCTCGTCATCGCCTCCTCCTCTTCTCTGTAGTGGCTGACGAGTGGGCGGTGATTCATGGACTGTCATCTCCATGTAGCTTTGGTCATCGGCGCCAACGCCAGGTTGCAAAGGTGAGAATGGTGTGTCATCTCCACGAACAGTAAGTTCCATATAGCTTTGGTCATCCTGGTCTTGTCGTCTTGATTGTACTGGCATTTGCGCTTGACCGGGCAAACGAAAGGGCGCCAACGCCGCTGTTGGTTCGTCCTGGACAGTGACTTCGGCAAATGTGTACTCATCCCACTCGTTGTTGGAGTTGCTACTAGCCTTTTGCGTATTGCTCCGCTTGACGGTTCGGGGCATGTCTGTTTGACAACCACTCTGCTCCCTTGTAGGAGCGGTGGCCTGGCTGTGGGCCGTGTCCACGCTGAGACGACGATTGTCTTGTTCTCCGGCTTGATTGTCGTCATCATCATCATCATCGACATCGAGCGTGTATTCTGTCCAACAAGACTGATCATCGGCGTCACCTACTGGAGTTTCGAATTTCATGCTGGGAATCATTCCAGGGGCGTTCCGTGCACTTGGTGTTTCGACCACCGACATGGAGCACTCGGTCCAATCATCATCAGCCAATGCTGCTTGTTTGCGGGCTTGTAAAAGAGCTTCAAATGCCAAGAAACTACCCGAGAGGCGTTCTCGGAGTTCTGGCGACCGGATATCGGGAAGCTTCTCTTGCTCCTTCTCCTCGTCTTCGTTCTGTTGCGCCGCGTCACTGCCCTCGCTCTCTTGATATTCATCTTGTCCTTCCTCATCATCATCTTCCCGGCCCTGCACCACTCCATTAATGACAATTTTATGGTCTCCCGTGAACACCAGCGAGACTCGTTTTTCGACGGCATCTCTCAACTTGTGTCTATCAAAGGCAGTTTCGTCAAAGACAATCTTGGCGCAGGATGGCGAGTCGAGTCCCTTTCGTCCAATGGTTTCCAAGATGTAATAATCATCCGTTTCGACATCTAGTAAGCGCACCTTGAGTTCTTTGATCACCTTCCATGCTTTGACGGCATCCAGGTTGTCGTCATACATGGCCGACGATCTACTAGTAGTGACGGTGGTGTCCACATTGAGTTGCTCCGGTTGCACGGGGTCGGTTGTTGCCGTGGTGGAGTTTGATGGCTCGCACGGTGGAGGCGTCGGCTGATCATTTGGTGGTTGTTGTGGTTCTCCTTCCTCCTCCTCGCCCTGCTTCTCTTCACCGCCTGTAGCACCAGTGTCAGCAGCAGCAGCAACATTCGCGTTGACATCCGGCATACTATCGGTGCTATCCATTCGTTCCATCTCTTGATGTCGTAGAATCTTTTCTCTCAACGACTTGATTTCCTCCAGTCGCAGCTTGTGCTGTTTGATGGCACTGGAGACGGGAGTCGGACTGGCCAATGGACTGAGGAATGTGGGTGAGGAAGCGCCCGCTGCTCTCACCGATCCACCCACCGATTCCAAATCATCATCATACTGTTGTTGGAGAATTCCCTGAAAATTGTGAAATCCTTTGGATCGGAGCAACTCTACGGCTTCTTCTCGAATGGCTTGCTCATTCTGTCCTCCTTTGGACGACATGTCATCATCTTCCTCCACCAACGCATCCTCATCGTCAAAACTTTGTTCCGGCACGGCGACATTCCCAAAGACGGCCTTTCGTTCTTGCATGCGTTGCTTCCATCCCCACGTGGACTTTTGAGTACTACTGGATCCCGTCAAATTGCGTCCCTGGCCTGTTCCCGAAGAATTGGTGGTGGTGGCTGCTCCACTACCAGTTGTGCCACTGAATCGATTCAATATGACATCGGTTTGCCAAGGTTTCGATTTGCGTCGTCGACCGGGTGGAGGAGGATGCGGTGGGGGCAAGCCCCCCGTGGGTTGTTGTTGTTGTTGTGGCATTTCCAAATGAGCAATGGTCCGTCGTCTTCCACTATTGCTAACAGTACAGCTGCTATTGACGGATTGACTACTGGAATCCAGTTCCGATTCGTGTTGACGCGGGGAAGGAGGATACTCTCCGGAGAGTTTGCTCCGAATTCTAAGTTTCTCTTCTTGACGGTGTCGTTCGTCCATCTCCAACTCGTCGTAAGGGAGGAGCCGTGGAGGAGAATGCACTCCTCCGGTGGATGCTCGTCGGCCTCCTCCACCACAAGCAGCAGCAACTTCGGATGCAAAGAACTTCTCACTATTGAGTTGCTGGTGTTGTCGTTTCACAAAGATCGACTGTTTGGTGTTATTCTGTTCTTCCACCAACCGATACATGGTAGGGTGGTTGGGTCACACACACCAGCAACGTAACAAACAAACAAACAACCAACCACCAGCAGTCGCGCAACTTTTTGAATTGCTTCCTCCACCAGAGAGACGTTGCCTTTCAATTCTGGCGGGAGAGGAATACCATGGGCCACAAAACAAGGTTTCACCTGTTGCGCCCGAGCCCTGGGTCGTTGGAAGTTGGAGTCTTATTAAGGAATCCAACAGTACGGGCACGCTACTTAGGCAGGTTGGACGATACAAGACCAATTTTTGAAGAACGTCAGCGCTCTCTCAACAGTTTCGTGATCGAAGAAAAGGGGTGACACTGCAAGATGGCGATGATGATCCTTTGTGGGAGTCACCTGGGAGTCGAGGTCGTGCAAATTGCTTGGGGAAGTCTAGTCTCTGGGGTGGATGCCCGTAACCATTGAAACCAAGAAGTTGGCAACGGCGAAGCTTTCCGTCAACGGTGAACCAGTGGATCGAGGATTCAGAGCTGGCGATACCGTACGGTACTATGGATGAGCAAAGCATACTGGTTCCGGTTCGCTCAATAGTGTACGAGATGGATGAGCAAAGCATAGTTCCGGTTCGCTCCACAGTAGCTACCGACCGGTACCATACCGATACCTGGTACAGTAGCTATGGTTTCAAGAAACATGGGCAGCTCCTAGACTACTGAGCCAGCTACTGTCGCTACTAGGCAATGCCCCTGAAAGTCTTGCCACCATGGAAGATCGCACGCTAATCATCTGAGTCTCCGCCTCTCCAGCAGCCAGCTACTAGTTTTTTGTAGGGCGCACCTTTTCAGTTCAACTGGAAGTCCAACCGGTCGGTATTCGTAGTGGGCTGTAGTAACCGAACAAAGACAGCACCTCAGCTTCGGGAAGCAGAAGGATATTACTCTGTACCGCCAGCCAAGCAAGAAGCAAGTCGCCCGAAGACACATCGCACCTAACACAGGCCCACGCAGAGATGAATGAATGTACCGTTGGGGCGCACCGATCGGTTTGCGGCCATATCCCATCGGAGGCAGCCCATCATCATTTCTGCCTGACCCGTAGGCAGCTGACCAGCCAGTTCATACGATTTCAGCTGCCTGGCAAGCTAGCTACGGTACCAGGTACAGCGTAGACACTGAGCTTTTCCAACTGCAACGAGCGAGCGAGCGACGAGGAGCTCCTACTAGTAGGGTTATCTTTATTTTGTTTCTCTCCCTGGGTTCTCGTAGGGCGAAGGGAGTTGCAACAATTGATGCCTCTAATTACAGACTTATCTCAATTAGCTATCCCTGCTAGTAGATCATGCTAGAAAGACGTGCATGTTTGCGTACCTGATCGTCGGTGTGGGCAGCAGCCATGCCTCAAGGTGCTGCCGTGCCGTTGTACCGGTAGAACCTTTCCTTGAGGGCACATTCAGCAACCCACTCCCACCAATGCCCACTCATCGTGGTGAAAAAAATGAGCCTGCAGACATCGACCTTTTTGAGAAAGATCCAGTGAAATCCAGTTGCTTCCACTTTGCTGTCAGCGGTGCACCCCAAATCTTCCTTCGAGAGAGATATCTTGGGCGGTACGGTACCTGGTACCGGTGCCATTCCACTTGAGGTATATTCCACAGGACCTGTATAAGTAGTTGACTCCTTGCGGCATCATATCCCATCACTCAGACCGTAGTTTAGATTGAAGCACAGGCAAAGACGCGATGCCCCTGCTAGATAGATGCTGCCCGTGCTCTGGGCGGACTGGACTAAGACGCGGACGACGAGCAACCAAGAGATCGCCGCCCCAGAATGACCATGACGAAGGTGGAAATGACGACGGTGAGGATTTGGAAGGATACCAGCAAGAAACCTGGAGCTTACCATCCACATTCCTTTCACAAACCAGCAAATTAGAACGCGAAACTTTGACCCATCAAGTACGAGACTCTGGGAGCTCAAGGATTGGATCATGGAACAGCCAGAAGGACAAGAAGCCATCGCGTCGCTCCTCACCAGCAAATACGAGACTCTCCAAAGGAATTTTCAACGTTTGTTCTACGATGATCAAGAGCTTCTTCCGCATTGCCGGAATTTGAAGGAGTACTCCTTCTTGCACGATAACGCCACGATAACCATGTTGATTCAAGGAAACGACTTGGAAGTCAAGTTTGACACTGGCAACGGTGATGAGACAATCATTGTACCATTTGAAATGGCTGAAGATGTGACAGTCTTGAAGGAGAAAATCAGAAAGATATTTTCCAACAGCATCCCATTGACGTCCGATGGTGTCTCTTTTGCCCTTACCGATGCTTCCAGAGGACATGTTCTCGACGACTCTGGTAGAACGATGAAGGGAAAACTTTCTGGGTATTCACATCGATTGAGAATCAACCCTTTCGTGGTCACAACAAAGCTTCTGGATGGGACTTCTTTCGAGGTGTGGTTTCATTCTCAATTTACTTTGCAAGACCTGTGGTCCAGAATCAATAATCATTTTGAAATCCCACCGGATAAGCAACTTCTATTGCGTTGTGGCGACAAAACCTTGCACGCAACAAGGCACGACCTGAAGCTGATGGAATCTGGGATCAATCTACATAATGATGTGTTGTTTGTCATCAACAAAGGCATTGCCGTGGGCTCCCCGTGGCTTCCTGTGAGCCAAGATAAGACTAGAGGATGCGACATACTACGAACAGAATTGCGGTGTCTCACATTGCACCAACTGAAGCAGCTAGCCGCGGAAATCATCCTTCGCTGCCAAAAAGAGGGATGGACGAGCACTAATCCATCACAACAAGGAAAATAGCTCTTCCAGAAGATGTTACTCTCTATGATCTTGTCCGCCACTTCGTCGCACCGATGACCAGAGCTAGACAGTGCAGCTATGCAGAACTAGTTGCAGATGCGCCACGCAAGCCGCAGTGGCTTGTTTCGCACTGGTGGGGAGAGCCATGTCTACGGTTTATTGCTGCGCTTGAGCAGCATGCAACAGATCGGTACTTGGATAATGCAGATCAGGTTTCGTATTGGATCTGTGCCTATTGCAACAATCAGCATAGGATTGACGACCTAACCGACAATCCTACAGAAAGCTCTTTCTACAAAGCACTGCAGTTGGTCGAAGGAGTGGTATCGGTGATGGAATGCAATATGGTTTGTTTTTCTCGCATTTGGTGTGGCTTCGAGGTTGCTTGTTCCCTCGGAGATATTGCTGAACAACGCGAGGCTCGAGGGAAGCGCTTTCTCTATGACGTTTACTCTGCATACGGAAATCGCAACCGCGATGTGATTGGTAGAAAGGGATGCTGTGTCGGCATTACTGATGGACCAGCTGCGATTGATGCAAACCAAAAACATGGAGGTCAGTTGAAGAGGCAAAGCACCTTCCCAGTGTCAACCTCAGCTCTTGAGATATGCATTGAGAACGCTGATGCATCTGTCAAAGAAGACAAACAGAGAATTCTGTCCTTCATCAGTGGAGGAGCCAAAGATGGGGATGGTATGACACCACCGAAAAGCCACACATCATATGATGAGGTCAATGCTTCACTGGCTGGCAGGTTTGCCCTGGCTACTTACATCACAGCGCTCTTGACAGCACAACCAGGAAGAGCCGAGGAAGAAACAGAGAAGTACAGACAGGCCATCGGAAACTACCAACAGCATCAGCGACTAACCATAGACTTGTCTCGAAGTCACTCTGGCTGGCAACACACAGCGCAACGACTGATATCAGAATTACCATCATCTTTGAAAGAAATGAAGCTGATATATTCTTATTCCGTGTTTCTGAGTTCTGGCGGGATGCCTATTGGACTCACCAAGCTGAACCATTTGGTGAAGTTCGAAATAAAGGGACGGGAGCTTGGAAGTTTGTCCACTCTGGATTGCCTTGGGACTGAGATATCTCATCTTGCAAACCTTCAATTTCTCAGTCTAGTTTTATGGGGCTGCAAGGATCTTCAATCAATTGAATCAGTTGGACAGTCCTTGTCCAAGCTACTGAGCCTTCGCCAATTAAACTTGACCTTCACTGGCTGTAGGAAGCTAGAATCGGTTGAGTCTGTCATGCAATCCTTTACCAAGCTGGTCAGTCTTCGCCGATTGAGGTTGTGCTTCAAAGGAGGAGGGATACAAATGCCAGTGAGCGTGGTGCCATCAACGTTGGCCTGTCTCCAGTCACTGTCCCTGGACTCTTCTATGGTATCTACAATGGATCTTCCTCCTGGCACCATTGATGGTATTTTGATGCCAATTGCTACATTGGCCACTCTCAGATCATTGTCATTGGATTTTTCGAGAGACAAACTAGGTGCCATAAGGTTTCTCTTTCTGGAAGTTTCCAGACTGACTCTATTGACAAAGCTTGATTTGAAGTTCAGAAAATGTGGATTCGATTCACCAACTTTGACATGAAGTATTTTGAAAGCCTTGTGAACCTGCAAGACTTGAGTCTTGACATTAGCGACAACAAACTGTGCTCAGACAATGGAGAACATTCAGTGGGTGGGTTGGCTTCACTCTCAGAATTATCAAAACTGGAGTCGCTTTCCATGCTATTCTATGGCTGCTTTGATTGCTGCTCAGAGCTCCCCTTTCTTGATGAGCTGGGCTCACTGCCCAAAATACGGCAGTTGGAATTGGACATTGGGGCTTCTCGCTTCTCTAAGCTTTCTTCGCTGGACAACCTTGCCATCACACTCCTGAGATTGAGAGGCTTGGAACGTCTGAAGGTTTGGGCTCAGAATTGCTCAGAATTGGCAGATTCATCCTTTCTGTCATTTTGCAAGGTTCTAGAAGAATGTGAAAACAAGTCTTGTCAGTTGGATCTTGAATTCATGTTGCGTGACAATCGTGAGGCAGCAACCTACAGATCAGTCTTTCCAAGGTCTACCAGTATATACCCATCCACTAATGCAAGGAGAGGGGAAAGACGAGAACATGAAGTGCCCAGGGATTACCGAGGCACAATTGCCGACCTGATTGTGCATGGACCCACGATTGGCTGACATCAATGAGCAAAGGCTCGAAGTCTTGGCAAGACTCTTCCAACTAGCCAATTCTGCCCTTCTAAGCTAGAGAAGCATACCCCTGATCTGCCATTCCAGAGAGGGGTGAAAGATATTTAGCATATTAACATCCAGCTTGCAGCGCGACCTAGCTAGTAGAGTGAGTTAGATCCCCTAACAGTCTTTATAGAGTATTAGATTGGACCAATTAGACTACTCGTCGACATTGATTACTTTGCCGTTCTTCTCCGCCACATCGAACTTGAGACCTACGGCTTGGTCCGGACTTCGCACTTCGGTTACGACCAAATCCGGATCAAGCGCGTCATCGATCGTCATCGGAAGGTTGGCCAGGCCACCATGGCGATCCAGCATTTCAATTTGATTGTAAAAGTAACGCTGCTGTGCCGACCCGTCTCCATTGTGAAACCAATGTTGCTGGCGCAGTCGTTCGCCTTCGGAGATGAACCGTTGCAGAATGGGGCACCAATGGGCTACAGATCCGCGCTCCATCCAGAATCGCTCTGGATCCACACCAACCGAACCACGCCGAATAAAAAAGTCGGTATGGCATTGTAGTTCATCAGACATGAGCATTCCCCGTGGAGTTTTTAGGCGCGGATGCTCCATCCAAACCTGTCCATCTGGAGCCGGAGACCAGACTTCGCCGGTTTGGGTGCGACCAGAGAAGATTTTTCCGGGAGGCGCCTCGTTGTTGACGTTGTTAAGAACTTCTTCTGGGACAACAAGGACACCCTCCAAGTTCCCCATGTCATCTGCCCCAGGAGCTTCTTGTTGGCCTGATTGAGTGTGGATTATCCCGACAGTGTGAAACTCGCCTTCAAACATTTCGTCTTCTTCCTCGTTTTGGCCATCTAGTTTTCCAAATTCTTGTGGAGTATTGTGAAGCAGAAATACAATCGATCCGATATCTTCCGTAGTAGCAGTCCTCCAGTGACGACGAGTCTCCGATGTGATGGTTACCTCCCGACCAGTACCACCTGGTGGTTGGTAGTAGAATGTCCAAGATACAATTTCGTCTCTCGGTTCGGGAACATCAGCCGTAAGTGAATATATCCCTTGCAACCTCGATTCACACATTTCCACTGCCTCGGGTGAGGCTCCATTTCTCCTCATAGTAGCTAACAATTCGCCTCCCGCCCGTAGCGTTGCCTGACGTTTCTGCTCTGGTGTGCGCTTGGATTCCTCGTACCATTTGCGAATCTCCTTCAAGCGATTGTTTTTGGCTTCTCTGTTGTCAGTCATCGTGTAGTTTGTTTCAGACTTTGCTGGATAGTTACAACGAAGGTATCGTTCACCTAATCAAAAATGCTAGCCTCCTCAAGGTTTGCTTTGGCTCGTTGAGGATGATGGATGAAGGTTGATGGATTGATGGACGATGGATGATCAAAGATCTTGCACATTCTTTCTCGTGTAAAGTACACGTGTACACGTACATGTACGTTCCTCAATCGTGTGTCGATTACGGGTGGGGTTTAGATACCAGCCCTAACCTTATTGTACAATTTCATTTTGGAAGCTGGAAGACAGAAGCTTTGGAAAAGGTAGGTGCGGTAAATATATTTGGCAAAAAGACATCTGTAATCTTACAGCACAAGTAGTCTAGTAGACTACCTAAAACTGGACGAGACTAGCAGTCGCGCAGGCAATTACCACAAACTCCTGACAGACGTCTCATTTTCCGTTGACGTCGCACAATTCAAACCACAAACAACACCAGAACCCTTTCATCGATCATCCATCATCCATCACCCCATCATCCACCGAACCGCACCGCTCCCCTCATCACAGTACACCAAAAGTTTGGATCAAATAGGAAACACCATGGCCAGTACCGGTAGTAGTGCGATGAAGCCTCGCAGCCGAAAGAGTTTGCTTCTCGAATGGGCGGGATGGAAGCGAGTACCTTCCCAGCGTCAGCTGGATTTGGCAGGTCCCAAACCAGTCGCCAGGGAATCCGTGCACAAAAATGTTCCTCAAGAATGGGTGGAAGACAAAGCGACGGCCATGATGAAACGATCCGAGGGACCAAATCCCATTGAGCTCCTCCTCAAAGTGATTACCGACATTTTTGGTCTCTTTCAGGGGTTTCTCTTTGAACATACCGGAATCAAGTTGGGGTGATTTGACAGCTTGGTCTACCTACCAACCAGGAAAAGCGATTGGTGTCTGACCAACGATGTGAAAAAAGAACAGCAATAGAGAAGAGAAGGGCGACAAGAAAGAAAGAGTACTGTTGGAATGAAAGGCTGTACTATGTGATATTCTTTTCGTATGCATAGATGTAAGTAAAAGAGCTCTTCGAAGAAATAGATCACAATTTGATATTGAGTAAAATGTTATAGATGTTGCATTTACACTACAATAAGCTATGTGAAGCGTGCGCGCATTTGACAGAGGGTTTTGATCATGGTATCACATGAAACATCGGCATACCGGTAGCAAGGAGATGTGTGCAATAAGATTTCGCTGGGAGGAGAACACAACTACCAGGTACATCCAGTACCGGTACAGCATACATGCTCATCATGCTGATCTTACCAGGCCAGATAGCTAGCTACCGGTAGGTGTGCATGTCACTGTTCATGGCTTGCTTGGGATTTGTCCCCGTCTTGTCCTTTATTAGAAGGGGGAAAACCCATACAAAACTGGCACCACAATCTGCACCATTCAGTGTCTACTACCAGGTAGTACCTTACCGGAATAGCATCGTATCGTTGGCGGTTCTGGATGTGCTTCCTCAGAAAGCTCCTTGAAAGTGGAGCCGATTGAGCCTACAAACTCTCCGTGACGGGATACCGGTACAGTTTAGCTCTTTCGTTGCACCCAGAACTCATTCCCCTAAAGCGGAAGTGGAATGCTAGCCAGATACTACTAGCTAGTATTTTGAATGAGGTAAACCACTATTTCATTGATCATAGGAGCCTCAAAGCCATGCTATATGCTTTATTCTTTAATTATGGGCTCATCGTCCGAGCTTGGCCGAGCTCCTGTGAGCTTCACGCCAACCAAAGACATATCATAAAAGCTGTGTATATTCGCAACAGGTGGGGCAGGCCGGCAAGAGAGAATGTTTTCATACATCTCCATACCGGTAGCACCAAAACGAACCACCAATCTACGTCCTTCTTCGGCTACTGGATCTAGAGGATTGCAGAAAGTCCGTCAATGGGCGGGTGGGTGTTCGTTCCGAACCGGACGAGTTGGATCGTCGGGGTGGCGGCTTCATGGGGCCGGTCTTTTTGTTGCGGTTGAGTCGTTCCAGTTTCTTATCCAGCTTGCCTTTGGAGCAGCTACTACCGTGCGAGCTGTCGTGTCGCAGATCGTCGGCACTTCCGAGACCTCGGTCCGCCTTTGTGGGGATGCTGTCCCATCGGGAGCTACCTCGCTTGGGCTTTGGTGGTTCGTCCTTGTCGAGGCAAATCTGACTCGGAATGGAACAAGTGCTCATGGAAGCAGCGCTCATGACGGTGCTGTCGTCGCTGGTTTTGAATGTAACAGAGCTCTGATCGGTGTAGACACTGGGAGCGTAAGAAGGAGCACTTCGTCGCAACATGGCAGTCTTGCGCTCGTGCATCTTGTCCTTGGTCAGCAAGGCATCCAGGGATCCTCGTCGGTTCAGTGGCGGCATGGTATCGTTGGTGTTGGTAGCGGAGTGAGATCGTTTCTAGTAACGAACAAAGATAGCTTTCGCTTTGCTTGTTTCTTTTCTAATGAGACCGTCGCCTTTACAACACAACAACACAATCAAGAAGAGCTCAAGAAGCAAAGAAGAGATGCTTCGGCAACCCAGGTTTGACTATCCAGTTGCCAGCTCAGATCCTGGTGAAGAACCCCAGATGCTTTGGTCGTGGGCGCTTTAATTCACATCTGACCCACATGTCAGAACTTGATCATTATTATGCAAAACCTTACCGAAAAGGTTTAACATCACATCATGGTTGTGCTTCTGCTTATTGCATCATTTAGGAGGGGGGGTTCACATCACATCGAAAGCATCTGACGAAAGGCTAACCACGACTGTGCAATACCTGTTCCAAACCAGGAATGGCAGTATGCATACAGTACAACTGAGTACATGTACCACAGACCACAGTACAGTTACAAAAGGAATGAGACTGGCTTCCTTGTGGCTGTGTAGTATGGAAGGAACTGTAAAAAGGCCGGCTAGAGTCTAGTACCGTAAGCCTGATCGATGGATTACCAATGGCTCCCTCCATCTCCCATCTTCCCCCCCCTCTCACCGGTACAGTACGGTATGGTACGCTACAAGCTCCAATCGCGGCTAAATGTATGCATACCTGCAACCTGCAACCCACATGCATATCTATCCGTCGGTATTTATTTGTGCATGCCGGGACGCTTGCTTGTACATGTACATGTAGTCTTGTTTTATTTTGCAGACAAAGCTGATGAAATTGAATGGTGGCAGCTGTGGTGGCACATACCGGTAGATGCACAGCCAGCTGCCCAGGGAACTGGGCCTCTAGTACTGTACGGTACCCTCTACCAACGGTCGCTCTTTGACTAACTTGTCTTTTCACTTGATGAGGACAGCACACCATGGGCTGCCTTTGAACCCCCCCTCACAGGTGGGCCTTCAAATGTTGTCGCTACCGGTATTAGCTACATGTAGTACGAGGTACGGGGCCATCCGGAGTCACACCCACGGCGATCAACATGACACAAACATGGCACAAAATCTCCCTTGCTCTTTGGCTATTTGCAGCCATCGCATTCGCTCCATCCAGAACCCGTCTTTCCAGTGTTTGCTGGTTCACACTTTCATCTCCCCCAAGATAGTTTCACTTGCTAGCTTGCACACTGGCTGGCCAGCCGCTCTGAACAACTCGCCGGTATCGCGGTTTTCCTGGTTCGCTGGAGACCCGTTTGATTTCACGCTAACCCTACCGTACTTTAGATGAATTCTATCGTGGAAATCACCGTGGAAATACAGGAATTCCCTCCAACCATCAATGAACGTTCTGAACCTAGCTCGCTAGCAGCTAGCTTGGGTTTTCATGTATACCGGTACAAGCTCACCCAGAGCCACAGGATTTGCTTACTGCACCATGTATGTCATACCACCATATGCATAGAGCTCCAACGAAGGAAGAAGGACTTGCTTTAAAACATACATCCGCGACCTGTTGCCGCTCTGGATCTTTGTCGAACTTGCTTTCAAGATGGACCCACGGTATCACTTTCCAGCGTACTCTCTCCTTACTATTCCCAGCACTGCCGACACTCGCCTTGCGAGTGACCTTCCTTCGTTGCTACATGCCAAGATCATACGATTTTAGCAAAAAGTGACTGAACTAAGTAAGTTTACACTGCCGAATCGCCTAAAACACAGGCTTTACTCGTGGTAACTTTTCGGTTTTTGACTTTTTCATCCCCTTGGGAATCATAGTGCTTGGGCTATTGTGGTACTTATGAAATCGAGGTTTATGTCGGCATGCTCCGTATATTACATGCCAAGATACATGAAGTGGGTGGTGAAGATTGGCCTGTAGTATATGGTAACCGCACGTACTTCCCTTTGTCCTTTGAGTTAGAGGAATTGAATCAAGCCTTTTCAGAAATCAATTCAAACAAAGGTTGGTTCTTGAAGAGAAGGGATGCATGCTTGGTTGGAGAGTTTATCTATTGCGGTTACATGATTCATTTGACCCTGAATTTCTTTTCGGAATTTCCCGTCTTGGTCATAGCATACCCAGTGTCAAGAGAAGATCGACAATTGCAGATTGATTTTGTTTTAAGTTTGATGGTAGTGGGAACCTTGTCCACAAGGGGATCCCAAATGGTGCCAAAAAGAAGGATTCTTTGGTAGTTCTGACCAACTATGCAAACGCAATCATTGCTTCCACACGTAACAAGAAAACTCTTTCCTGCCCAGGATTCTGTGAGGACATATCAGCTCACAATTCACCTTGTCAACTGAGTCAGATGGGAAGCCAGTGGCAGGAGCCTGAGGTGTTGAAGTGGAGAGATGACAAGTATTACCATTATTGGTGCTGTAGCAGTATTGAACTTGGAGCACCTTGGTACTTTGTACTGGATAAGGAAAGATCAGCGACATTGGTGCTGCAATGCAACCGGTCCAATCAACAACCCTACCGGTATGCGGAGCTGTATTCCATCCCCTTGAATAGCCGTGGAGCGGCCACCCTGAGACGTTGGGCCAAGAAGGCGACAAAACGTTGCAAAACCATGGAAGATAAGGTTCACAAGCTAGATGCTATTGCAAAAGAGATTTGTGATCAAGGCCAGCAACTAGATTCCAACAATCTGCTCATTCCAACAATCTGCTCCATGAAAAGAAAGGGAACATGGAAATAATCGACTTTGGGCGAAGTTCACAAGCGGAGTTCTTGATCCTTCGCCCAGCACAGTATATTGGGTATAGATTGAAGCCACGCATGTCAAAGGATGCCAGTGGTTTCAGCTTCACGCCATGTGTTGACTTCTATGTCAGTCACGATGCTGACATGGACTCTATGATACGTGATTTGGCAGACAAGGTGAGAGTGTACAATCAGGAAAGGGGTGATGTTGATCCCGCTCAATTGGAACAGAGAAGCGCAGCAAAGCATCCATCGATTCAGCTCGCAACCATTTCTTAATGTTATTGCACAATGAATTAGCCTAGATACATGCATGCGACCTCGTCATCATCGAATCCCCGTGTCGTGGGCCACACACAAAAATGGAATGCGCCCCACTGTCCCAAGAAGCGATTTCATCTACGGTCGCAGTTACCAGCTAGTGCAGAAGCATTGAATATTTATAAGGACGCTCTGTCCTCTTGCGGCTCAAAAGAATCTTGTTGAAGTGTTGCTACCCAACCTTGAGAGGACCTGATGAAGTGTGTGTATCGTCAAAACTGAAATCCACTGGTTTGCCAGCTCCAGCCTGAGCGACAGCCAAAACGGATGCCACGGAGGGATCTGCCGAGACAGGAATGCGGAGCTGAGCTTTTCCGAGCCCCGGAGAACTTGCTTCAATGACAATCTCAGTTGCGTCCACAAAGGACGGCAAGGATTCGGTAGCTGGACCATGGATTTCTTGCAAAAGTTGTTTTTCGCGAGAACTCAGGCCCGCTATCGAGGTTACTTGAATCACAGCTCTCACAAGGCCATGGTATGCGGTCTGAGAAGGAGACTGATGCGGCTGGTAACTTTTAGGATCACCGTTCGCGGTGCCAACCACACGTCCGGGGCCACTGACTACTTTGACAAAGATGAGGTTGCTTGCCATGTGCATTGCCTTCCCATGTTCATCCATTACAGCGGCCCTGACCAACGCCACATCCTGTCCATCCAAGAACAGCGCCGAACCGGTTCCCGTCGCTTCTGATGGGCTATCCAAGCTCAAGGACAGAGAAGCAGCCTTTCCATTGGTGGCACGCTCCGTTGCGGCCAAATGCGTGGATTGGTCACCGGACAATGCCACGGCCGTCAAGCTACCAGCTTCCCATGCAACACTTGTCCATTCCGCATAACTGCCATCGGAGCCTCGGGTCATGGGGACCAACGGATGAGCCCCTTGGGAATGTCCATTGGCAAGGAGCTCAATGAACGGAGCATTGGAATAGGCATGGATACTTCGTGTCTTGTTTCCACGCGTGCTATTCCAACTGTCGGGTGATTCCCAGGACTCTACAATTTGGACTTCGTAGGAATCATGGGTCAGGAAGGGTTTGTCGTAGGAGGTATCCGAGACTCCCAAGAGCCATTGCGTTCGGAACCAAAAGGCCGCTGGTTTGGGAAATCCACACAAGTCAAATTGTCCGTAAGTGCTAGACACATGAAGTCCCGCCATGGGTGGTTCTCCGTAGTAGTCAAACAGGGTCCAGACCATTGTCCCTGCCGCATAGGCCACACCATCGGACGCGTTGACCAGCCTTTCCAGGCATCGAGCATTGAACGTCTTTTGTACACATCCCGAATGAGGATTATCCCTCCCCGTCTCACATCCTTCGTCTTCACCCCGCATCGTGTTGCAAGAGCAACACTCCGACTGAAAGATTGGTTTGTTGGGAAGCTTGGCATGACAATCGTCCAATTTGTCGCGATGCTGATGAGAGAATCCCTGCACATCCACCGTATTGGAAAGTAGGTCATTAAATGTAAACATGTTTGCCAACGTGGGTCTCGTTCCATCGAACTGCGAGGCAATGGCCTGAAAGGGAGGTCCTCCCTTTTCGTGTTCTCCCTCGCAGGCATTTTCGTTGCAAAACGACCAAATAACGACACTGGGATGATTTCGATCGCGTGTCACCAAATGGGCCATATTTTTGACATAATCCGGATGGTCATCAAACAATCGATTCTCATCAATAACCACCATACCGAGTCGATCGTAAATATCCAACAAGGATGGGTCGGGTGGATTGTGCGATGTGCGTCGTCCATTGCCTCCAATACTGCGCGATGCTTGAGCGCGAAAGAGATTGATGCGGTCGGGCAGTGCCATTCCGACGACAGCAAAGGTGTCGTGATCGCAAAATCCACGAATCTTGTAGGGTCGTTGATTGAGAAAGAATCCTTGATTGGGATCAAAGTGAATGGTACGAATGCCATGCGGGACACCCACTCGATCCTGTTCTTGTGTGGCATTGCTGCAGTACGTGAGGATGAGTTCGACGCGATACAAATTGGGGTGAAGGGTGGACCATAAGAGTGCGTGGGGTAGGGTATGATTCTCTCGCACTACCAACACGTCAGTGGGGTTCTGAAATGTGGGTAACGGGTGTGGTTCCAACAGGGTTGTGATTTGGTCTGGCGCCGTAATTTGAAACTGATAGCAGTGGTTTTGAGCTTGGATAGGTGTTGTCGATTGTTGTTGTTGTGTCTTCTTGATAATACTAGCTTGCATTTCGAGTGTTGCTTCTGCCTTGTCGTTGTTCTTGTCGCCATCATTATCATTGTGAATGTTGGTTACGTGACTCTTGACAAACAGTGATTGTGGCGCCACATGAATTCGATTGGTCTTGACGAGACGCACATGTCGATACAAGCCTCCTCCTTCGTACCACCACCCCGACCCACTTCCTCGACGGCCCAGATCGCCATTGTCGGGATCCACAAATACGGCAATCGTCTGTTGTTGACTACTACTACTACTACCGGTAAAAAAGGTAGATGGATCCAAATCGACACGAAAGGGTGTGTATCCACAAATGTGTCGCTGGACGATCTGTCCATTGAGCCACACGGTGGTATTGCGGAAAGAACCATCAAACTCGAGCCAAAAGACAGAATCGTTGTTGTCAACAGCTGTGGACAGCCATGACGCAGGAAGGGAAAACGTCTTGCGATACCACAAGACGTGTCGAGGAATGTAGGATCGACCCGAACAACCGTTGGGACACGCTTTCTGCGAGGGTGGATTCACAATCAGTCCATCATGGGGCAACTGAACTTTCGTCCAGGAACTGTCGTCGTGGTCCGGAGCGGCTTCGGGGGGATGCAAGCCAGGGTCTGTCTGCTCGGGTGGCGGATCATCCCATTTGGCGGGAGCTGTCAATCCAGTCCGATGCTTCCAGCCAAAATCAAATGTCACCGATTCTCGGGTGGCCACTACTACTGATGCAGGAGCAAGCAGCAGCAGCCAGTGCAGTGGTTGCCATGTACGACAATAAGGCATCATCGTTAAAAAGTTATTGTGATGCCTTCCTCCAACCGAAAAATGAACAGATCAGTCTCAGACAAAGCAATCCTCGATCTTTTGTCTGAACGAAGTAGATCTAGCTAATGGATCCGACGCGCAAAAAAGATAGCGGAGCGAGACCTCGCCATTGAGGGGCCGGAACATGTGTATGACATGAACGGTTAGCGTGATTTGTCCCTCACAAATTTTCACCTTGGCTAAGTGCTTGAAAATCCACTTCGGCTAAGTGTTTTACTTAGCCTAAGCAATACACTTAGGCTAAGCAATACAAAGCAACTCACTTAGGCTAAGGAACGCTTAGGCTAAGTGATGCTCTCCAAGGCATCTTCTCAACAGCACAAGTTCAGCACAAGTCCCTGCAGCTTGCTGTAAACAAAGTGCAAACACAAGTTCCAATATAACCATCACCCACCATATCCTCCGCTTTATGCAAGACTTCCTGTGAACTGCTTAAGGAACTTCACAAAAAAGAGTTCAATTGGGCTGAGACTGAGATTTAGATCCAGGTTGCGACTTCCCTGGAGGATGGTATCATCCATACATGGCAGCATACTATTAATCTGGCTTCCACCCTTGGCTATAATGTAAATACGCAACAACAAAAAGTGCCAAAGGAGACTCTGTACGATTGGGAATTATTACGGTTCCTGGGTGGAAGTCCGAAAGTACTCCTCAGGAGTTGTGGGTACTATTCCGGTGTACAAATGATGTTGCTTTCTTGCAAAATCTTGGATGTTCCCGATATTTTCCAAATACATGTTCAGTGTATTTACCTACCATCTGAGAGTTGTTGGTCGTTAGTTGTGCCTTTGGTGTGGCTATGGAGACCGAACATAAGCCACAACCAAGATCTGGTGGGCAGAGACAAAAAAGATAGCGGAGCGAGAGCTCGCAAAGGGAGGGGGGTTTGGCCAAAATTACACCAGATTAGGGGGGTCCCGTTAACTGCTAGCCAGTGGCCGGTACGTCGTACCGGTAGCCATTTCCAGTGCGTGGATCCAAAGTTATCTGGAGTTGTGGGTTGTGGGACCTGATCAATGCTTTATCCGTTGATTGACTACTACCATGTCTAATAATAATAACAACAATAACAACTGCTAACGTGGGGAAATACTACTTGAATAGAGGGATCTTGTAGAGGTAGCTACCACCCGACGAGATCAACCGTAACTATTCAAGACGAGTGCAAGGT